ATAATCGATTCTCCAACGTTTTTTTGGTAAAGAAGGTGTACTTCACTGTTGCCAGGTCAAAAAAATTAAATTCACCAGAAATCGGAATGAAAAATCACCAGATTTAAGAAAAAAATCACCAGAAATCTTGAAAGTTGATTTTCCAGGAAAATTCTCGCCTTACGGGCTTATATCAAACCAAGTAGGCTTTGGAAACATGTATGTATTGCAATGTCGGTATTACAGGGCGCAATATTTAAATTTTAAAATTTTGCTATGCCTACTTTGTCCCTTGTCAAACAGTGTTGCTAACTACAACTTATAACAAATATTATGTCAATCATTGAGGCTTGAATTTATACAAAAAAAAGCCCAAGTAGGCCTTGCAAATTTCAAATTATCAACACTGTTGGGCAAAATGTCAAATATCATTTATGACAAGCGATAAGATTACTACTTATCAAAAACTAAGTGAACCTTAAAGCAATCCTGGACTGGGATCATGACAAGTAGAATTCTATTTTCATGACGTCACCCGCGACCTATTTATCGCGTATACTACAGGCGATGATCACTATTGCTAGGCAACCTGACGTCATGAAAGTAGAATTCTAGTGGAATTCTACTTGTCGTGAATGTCGTGATCCCAGCCCAGGTTTTAATCGATGTCGGTAATACAGATAACTGTAAGCAAAAAATTTATCAAATCAAGTAGGTCTTGGAAACAACCCAGCCATTTTAAATTAACTCTCAAAAACTACAGGGCCTACTTTGAAACGTTAAATTGCGTTAGAGTTACTACATTTTTCGACTAGGGTTGCTACGTTTTAAATTTTACTTCCAAAACCTAATAATTTTGTGTATTTCAACAAATCCTTTGCTAAAACCATCTATCTTTTCTTTATACAAACTAGTAAAAAAAGACACGAATACACTCAGTGCACATTAATGCCGTTGAAAATAATGCAAATTGAATAAAACAATTATTAAGCAAAAATAGAGCTTCAAAAGACGTAATTTTAATGAAAAAAATCGTAAGTTTGACAGCAACACTTCGCAAGCCCATAGGGTCGGGGTCTTTTTAAATTACGAGTCCGTTTTAAATTTTTTTCAAAGAATTTGGATTTTTATTTCAAAATTTTCAAATTTAATTTTCTCGGAACCCGTCAGAGATTTTGGATCATTTTTTTTTTGAAATTATAGCTCTTAATAAGGGCTTCAAAATAGTACTCAGTTAAAGTCGCTGGCATTTACAATTTTTGAGAAAATCCAGTTTGAAGTTTTTGACTAAATTTCGAGTAAAACAACTTTGGGGCTCAATTGTGCGAAAAGTATTTGAATAATGAAACTCAATCTAGCACTGATTTATAGAGAATTTAATGCTCTTTCCAACCATATGTAATTTATTTTGATTTGCGCAAATTTTAATGGAGGTATTGGCAATTGCTCCTAACTTTGATGGGATTCAAAAAGAATTAAACCTAAAAATTGAGATTTTCTTTTTAATTTTTCTCTGTATTGAAATCAAGATTTTGTAATGATATTAGAGTTTTTTTTGACTAATTTGAACTCGCTCTATCGATTGGCAAAGTTAAAATTGCAAAAATCTGAAAAATTAAAATTTTGAGTTTTTTAATTTTTTTCCAAAAGGTACCTTCGAATTTTTTTCTCAAAATGTTCAAACTCAATTTTCTCGATTTGTCTGTCAATTCGGATCAATTTTTTGGTATGGTACTTAGTTGAAGTTGAAGTCGCTGGTATTTACGGTTTTTGAGAAAATCGAGTTTGAAGTTTTTGACTAAATTTCAACTGAAATCCAATTTTGAGGCTCAATTGCTCTAAAAGTATTTGAGTTATCAAACTCAACCTAGCACTGATTTATAGAGAATTTGATGCTCTCTCCAACCATATATAATTTATTTTGATTTGCTCAAAATTTAATAGAAGTATTGGCAATTGCTCCTAACCTTGTCAGGATTCAAAAAAAATTTAAACCTAAAAATTGAGATTTTCTTTTAAATTTTTCTCTGTGTTGAAATCAAGATTTTGTAATGATGTTAGAGTTTTTTTCGACTAATTTAGACCGGCTCTATCGATTGGAAAATTCAATAAATATGAACAATAAAAATTTCGAATTTTTCAAAGGGTTACACCCTCAGATTGTCATCCAAAGTTCTTGCCAATAATGATTTGTCGCATTTTCTAAATAACTGAGTGTCTGGATCAAAAAGCGATAGAGAAAGTATAGATATTTCATAATTGAAGTTCTGCTTTAATTTTTGCAGATCAGGATTAAGAGACAATAAACACACCAGCATTCTTTGAATGAGGAGTTTTGTGTCAATATACTGAACACCTCCGTCAATAACAATACCTTTTCTTAGTATCTTCATTGTGACAGCTTGATCCTTTTAAACCATGGTAACAAAGTTAAAAGCTTTTCCAGTAAGTTTGGATTGGATTTGAAGTCCAATTAACTTAGCATCATCTGCAGTTACTTTGTCTAGTAACCCACTGAAAATATTACGTAGCTGAACGCATTCTGAATCAAATGGATTGTGATCTTGCAAAAATTGAGGTTATGTAAGAAAGTCTTTCATATCTTTAGATGTCCTAGCATAGGATATTTCAATATATTATGCTGCTAATACGGGAGACGTCAGTGAGATCGCTCATAGCAGCAATAACTTCACAACATGCAAGGTGGCTCAATATATATGTAGCTTTGACTTTCAACCATGCTCCTTCCGCGTGTTTTTGTTGATCGCATCAACGTTTTTTCAATAAACATATCTGTCCATATTCCAGCCCACAATCTAGTGTGTCTACGAAGAGTGAAATAACCAGCACTCAACAAACTATAAACATCTTCATGATTTTTTCCACTTATCTTATTTGCTGTAGATATACCCTAGCACATTATGCATAGTTGTTGTGCCACGCAGCCGCAAAGACAGGCAGCACGTGCTCTATAGCTTGCAAATGCATTTTTAAGTTTCCTGTTCCTTCAGCCTAAATAAATGCCTTGGCAATGTCAACCATATCTAAATACATGATTCACAGTTTGGGTGTTCGACTTTAGACCTTTAAAGAGTTCTTTTTTTCTTGCAATTCAGAAGACAACTTTAGCAGTTTGGTAGAGGAACTTATTTCAGAGACTGTAATCTCGCTATTATATAGCTTATCGTAAAGTTCCATAAGACTGTGTAAACTTAAATGTATTTCACCTGTATCCATTGGTTCCACTTGTCCCTCACTTGAGAGCACTGCCGGAAGTTGTAAGTTACTTTCATAATGAAAATCTGTATCGTAATGAAATTCATTATGAAACAGATTTTAGGCATATTATGAAACGTCAGTAGAAAAATATATTAATCTTACGGTTTGCCTTTTATCTAATTTTTGTTCCCTTTAACTTGGAAGCTTGCAAATATATTCTTTTTTATATTCAAATATTTTTTAGTAAATAACTACCGATGGTCACTACCCATACCTAACCAGAGGTACCTACCTATATTTTATTTTTAGGAATTTGATTGATTCACTTTTCAATATGTTTACAAAACAAAATACAAGAATATTTTTAACAGGGTCTATTAGATACGAAGGCGTAGAAGGGACATTTATTAAATTTTTATTTGCTGGTAGTGATGCACAATTAATTCCGTGTTAACTAACTCGGAATTAATCTCCTCCTATTTAATTCCGTATTAACTAACTCGGAATCAATTTCCTCTTAGTTAATTTCGTGTTAAGTAACAGGGAATTAATCTGCTCTTATCTAATTTCGTGTTAGGTAACTGGGAATTAATCTCCTCTCATTTAATTCCGTCTCATTTAATTCCGAGTTAATTAACACGGAATTAAATAAGAGCAGATTAATTCCTAGTTACTTAACACGAAATTAACTAAGAGGAAATTGATTCCGAGTTAGTTAATACGGAATTAAATAGGAGGGGATTAATTCCGAGTTAGTTAACACAGAATTAATTATGCATCTCTACCAGCAAATAAAAATTTAATAAATGTCCCTTCTACGCCTTCGTAATTAGAGGATTGAGAAGTTTGGCAATGAGCGGAAAACCAAGCAACTTCCTCTAACAACACCAAACAAAAATTTAAAAGATCTGTAGGGTCGTTGTGGCTTAGTTGGTTAGAGAATACAAATTATTGGTTTTAATCTTGAATACATTTAAATCAATTATATTTCAAGTTTTGACCAATATTACTCGTATATAAATGGATAAAATTTTAAAGAAGACATATTTACTTCATCCACTAAGAAGAACAAACTTTATTATTTAACTGCAGTTTTTCAAATACTTCAAATGTGTAAAATTCATAAGAGAGAGACTTAAATTACTGTGGAAAGTTACAAGAACCCAAAGAGAAATTCTGGAAACTTTTAGAAAATAAGATCAAAATAAATTATTCTATAATATATTATACCTATATTACTATATTATTATCAAATTTTTTGGGAAATGTTTTTAAATCCGCTCCAAATAAGTTAGACTTATAGTGTTTGGACAATCGAAGATGTTATACACAGGTACCTACTTCAGATGCTTTTAAGAGCCTGAAAAAAAGAAAGTCCGTAAATATACCTACACTTTGGAGTCAACTATGAAATACATGTAAAACTCATTTTTAAATTTGTTTGAAAATTGCTTTTCAGACTCTTTTGATGACTCTGGAGGTAGTTTTTCGACAATTAAATGAATAAACTGTCTAAATTTTGATGAAAATTTAAGCTTGCAGGTTGTCTTAATTGCGAACAAATAAATTCTCAATGATAAAAACTTTGACTTGTTTTCAGTAACTAAGTTTTAATGCATTGATTATGATAAACTCTGCAAAAAAAATAATGCAAAACAAGGAACAAGGAAATGAGCATAAACATTTTCTTTGGTAAAATCCATCAACCAATTATCAAAAAACCAATAAATCATAATTGAAATGACCAGTATAAATACGAAGATTCTTCGAATAGTTGGCAATTGGTGCCTGAGCCTGAAATCATGCAGAAAGTTTGTATTTTGTTGCTGGTCATTCTATCAGCTGTTGCTGAAGATGATCTGTGTGATTATCCTTGTCCACCAACGGCTCCGCCATGTCATCCTATAAGATGTCCTGAAGGCACAGTGGTTGGATGGGCTCACGAATGTCAATGTTGTCCATCTTGTGTAATTCGTAAGTAACTTTTGATAGGAAAATAATTTGTAATTAAACATGGTTGATTTATAGTCGAAGGAGACAGTTGTCCTTGGAGAGGCCCTGAACCACCCTCTGGACCTGTTGAATGTGAAAAGGGTACAGAGTGTTGTGATTGGGAATGCTGTAGGGATTGTGACAAGTAATCATTGCAACGACGGATGCATTTAATATACCGACATACTTCTAGCTTTATATAAAAAATTGGTGGTGGGTTTTAAATTAGTTGATTTTTGAATAAATTCTGGTTGCAAGCATTAATAACTGTTTTTTTCTTACTGCCTCTTAACTGACCATTTTCCTTTATTCAACGATTTTATGTTGACTTCCAAAAAAAAAATCTTTGAACATGGTATTTCTGGAAGATGCTTAAGACAATTGAAAATCCTCTACGAATAAATTATTACTCTGGACAATTTGAAAAATTACGATTTTTATAGAATAACTTCACGACATAGAATGTGAGAAACTCGCTCTTATTATTAATAATTTATTGGAAGTTGCTGTACATTCCTTTTTAGTTACTCCAAAATCTTCAAAGTAGCGGTCTAGCCTCATTTTAAACATAAAATTCATGATTTCTCGTACCTACCTTAAAATCATTCTAGAAACTTTGAAGGTAGTTTTCCGACAATTTCAAGTATGTAGAATTCATAAGAGTCACTTAGAACACTATATGGAAGTTGCCTGAAAAGTTCTAGACACTTCAAAGCTAAGCTTATTACATACCGAGTAAGGAAGTGCTTCATTACTGCTGCAGCTATAGTTTCGGCCTCCGTTCTATTGGCACAAGCCATAAATATTAGTTTCCGTTAGAAGGCAATTAGGACAAACCGCAAATTTTCTCTGGCTTGAGTCCCAACTTTGATACATGATCCGTATAACTCAGAATTGTATTTTTGAAGTCTTGTAAAGTTTGCTCTCATGGGGAAGAATAAATTTAACATTTCAATTAATATTTGCATTCAGGATTAAAGCCAAATGAGTTTTGTTATTGAAATTTTACGGGATTTTGTTGGGGAACAAAACACAATCAATCACAAACACATTATGTAAAGATAGACAAGATAAATTTTTTCCAAAAAAGAATGAGCTGGATGTTTTTTTGTGAGAGAACAACTCTATGAATACCTACTGCATTCCGTAGATAGACAGAATTAAATTAAAGATTCTGCTGTAAAATGTATAGAATCAGTTGCATATTAATGTAGGTATTAGAAGAAAGCTGACAAAACCCATATTAGTCCAAAGGATTGTGGGCTAAATAAGTTCAGATGATTTATTAAACAGATGATTTTACAAATTGCAAATTTTGTTTTATTGAGAACAAACCTTATACATTTTCATTTATATGAAATTCGGTTGTGAATTTAGCTATGGTACCAGCAGCTCCCTCACCGAGAGCTCCTAAAGCAGACAATCCAGCAAATAATGGAATAAGGGGTGTATACATGGAAAGTTGTTGGAAAAAGCGACGTAGGTTTGATTCTGTTTTGCTTGAGGGGTAAACCTTGAAAAATATGTACACCAGAATCGCACTTTAAGCTTAAAGCTCGGTTGACACACATTGGTCATCAAGTTGGAAAAAAACCCATAATATTGTTTCAAATTAACTTCAAATTTGCTTTGTTTGATGGAAATATTTTTGTTAATACATTCTAGAAGTTTCAAGTCGACCTCCCAAGAATATTTCAGGATTTTTCAAAAGTGATTCAGAATGAATTTTACAAGTTTTTTGGTAACAAGTTGGAGAAAACCTCATTATTTTACTTCTGAGCTTCAGATCGATTTCAAATTTTCTCTGCTTGATGAAAAGATCCTAGTTAATGAATCCTGAAAATCTAAAGTCGATCTGATTCCTCAAAGTATTTTTTAGGATTTTTCAAAGATGATATACCTAACATGAAACTGATATCAAGTTGGGAAAAACATTATAATTTTGTTTCTGAGCCTCAAATTGACTTCAAATTTCCCTTGTTCGATGAAAACATTCTGGTGAATAAATCCTGAAAGTTTGAAATTGATTTGATAGTCCGAAGTATTTTTCAGGATTCTTCAAAGGTGCAATTTATCCATTTTTTCTGGTAATAAGTTGGAGAAAACCTCATAATTTTATTTTTGAGCTTCAGATTGACTTAAAATTTGCCTTGTTTGATAAATACATGTTGGTAAATAAATCCTGAAAGTTTGAAATTAATCTGGTACTCCGGAGTATTTTTCAGGATTTTTCAAAGATGATTTAATGTGAATTTTCCAACTTTTTCTGTTAATAAGTTGGAAAAAACCTCATAATTTTATTTCTGAACTTCAGATTGACTTTAAATTTAACTTGTTTGATGAAAAGACCCTGTTTAATATATTCTGAAAGTTTCAAGTCGATATCATACTGCGAAGTATTTTTCAGAATTTTTCAAATGTGATTTAACATGAATTTTCCAACTTTTTCTGGTATTAAGTTGGAAAAAACCTCATAATTTTATTTCTGAGCTTCAGATTGACTTCAATTTTCCCTTGTTTGGTGAAAATATCCCAGTTAAGAAATCGTGAAAGTTTGAAATCGATCTGATACTCTGAAGTATTTTTCAGGATTTTTCAAACGTGATTTCACGAGAATTTTCCAACTTTTTCTGGTAATAAGTTGGAAAAACCTCCTAATTTTAATTCTTAGCTTCAGATTGACTTCAAATTTGCTTTGTTTGATTGAAAACATCCTGGTTAATAAGTCCTGAGAGTTTGAAATCGATATGAGACTCCAAAATATTCTTCAGGATTTTTCAAAGGTGATTTAATGTGAATTTTTCAACTTTTTCTGGTAATAAGTTGGAAAAACCTCATAATTTTATTTCTGAGCTTCAGATTGATATCAAATTTACTTTGTTTGATGAAAAGATCCTGGTTAATAAATCCTGAAAGTTTCAAGTTGATCTGATACTTCCAAGTATTTTTCAGGATTTTTCAAAGATGATTTAACATGAATTTTCCAACTTTTTCTGGTAATAAGTTGGAAAAAAACCTCATAACTTCACTTTTGAGCTTCAAATTAACTTCAAATTTACCTTGTTTAATATGAAAATCGTAGTTATTGAATCCTGAGAGTTTCAAGTCGATCGGATACTCAAAGACGATTTAACGTGAATTTTCCAACTTTTTCTGGTAATAAGTTGGAAAAAACCTCATAAATTTATTTCTCAGCTTCAGATTCACTTCAAATTTGTCTTCTTTGATAAAAACATTCTGATGAATAAATCCTAAAAGTTTGAAATTGATCTGATAGTCCGAAGTATTTTTCAGGATTTTTCAAAGATGATTTAACGTGAATTTTCCAACTTTTTCTGGTAATAAGTTGGTAAAAACCTCATAATTTTATTTCTGAGATTCAGATTGACTTCAAATTCACCTTGTTTAATAAAAAAATCGTGTTTAATGAATCCTGAAAGTTTCAAGTCGATCGGATACTCGGAAGTATTTTTCAGGATTTTTCAAAGACGATTTAACGTGAATTTTTCAACTTTTTCTGGTAATGAGTTGGAAAAAACCTCATAATTTTATTTCTGAGATTCAGATTGATTTCAAATTTGTCTTCGTTGATAAAAACATTCTGATGAATAAATCCTGAAAGTTTGAAATTGATCTGATAGTCCGAAGTATTTTTCAGGATTTTTCAAAGATGATTTAACGTGAATTTTCCAACTTTTTCTGGTAATAAGTTGGAAAAAAACCTCATAATTTTATTTCTGAGCTTCAGATTGACTTCAAATTTATCTTCTTTGATAAAAACATTCTGGTTAATAAATCCTAAAAGTTTGAAATCGTTCTGATCGATACTCCGAGGTATTTTTCAGGAATTTTCACAGATGATTTAACGTGAATTTTCCAACTTTTTCTGGTATTAAGTTGGAAAAAACGTCTTAACTCTATTTTTGAGCTTCAGATTGACTTCAAATTCACCTTGTTTAATAAAAAAATCGTGTTTAATGAATCCTGAAAGTTTCAAGTCGATCGGATACTCGGAAGCATTTTTCAGGATTTTTCAAATATGATTTAATGTGAATTTTCCAAATTTTTCTGGTAATAAGTTGGAAAAAACGTCCTAATTTTATTTCTAAGCTTCAGATTGACTTCAAATTTGCCTTGTTTGATGAAAAGATCCTGGATAATAAATCCTGAAAGTTTCAAGTCGATCTGATACTTCCGAGTATTTTTCAGGATTTTTCAAAGATGATTTAACGTGAATTTTCCAACTTTTTCTGGTAATAAGTTGGAAAAGAACCTCATAACTTTATTTTTGAGCTTCAAATTAACTTCAAATTCACCTTGTTTCATAAAAACATCGTGGTCAATGAATCCTGAAAGTTTCAAGTCGATCGGATACTCGGAAGTATTTTTCAGGATTTTTCAAAGACGATTTAACGTGAATTTTTCAACTTTTTCTGGTAATAAGTTGGAAAAAACCTCATAATTTTATTTCTGAGATTCAGATTGATTTCAAATTTGTCTTCTTTGATAAAAACATTCTGATGAATAAATCCTAAAAGTTTGAAATTGATCTGATAGTCCGAAGTATTTTTCAGGATTTTTCAAAGATGATTTAACGTGAATTTTCCAACTTTTTCTGGTAATAAGTTGGAAAAAACCTCATCATTTTATTTCTGAGCTTCAGATTGACTTCAAATTTACCTTGTTTGATGAAAAGATCCTGGTTAATAAATACTGAAAGTTTCAAGTCGATCCGTTACTTTCAAGTATTTTTCAGGATTTTTCAAAGATGAATTAACGTGAATTTTCCAACTTTTTCTGGAAATAAGTTGGAAAAAAACCTCATAACTTTATTTTTGAGCTTCAAATTAACTTCAAATTCACCTTGTTTAATAAAAAAATCGTGGTTAATGAATCCTGAAAGTTTCAAGTCGATCTGATACTCGAAAGTATTTTTCAGAATTTTTCAAATGTGATTTAACATGAATTTTCCAACTTTTTCTGGTAATAAGTTGGAAAAAACTTCATAATTTTATTTCTGAGCTTCACATTGATTTCAAATTTGCCTTCTTTGATAAAAACATTCTGGTTAATAAATTCTAAAAGTTTGAAATCGTTCTGATTCTCCGAGGTATTTTTCAGGAATTTTCACAAATGATTTAACGTGAATTTTCCAACTTTTTCTGGTAGATATTAAGTTGGAAAAAACCTCTTAACTCTATTTTTGAGCTTCAGTTTGACTTCAAATTCACCTTGTTTAATAAAAAGATCATGATTAATGAATCCTGAAAGTTTCAAGTCGATCTGATACTCGAAAGTATTTTTCTGGATTTTTCAAATATGATTTAACGTGAATTTTCCAACTTTTTCTGGTATTAAGTTGGAAAAAACCTCTTAACTCTATTTTTGAGCTTCAGATTAACTTCAAATTCACCTTGTTTAATAAAAAGATCATGATTAATGAATCCTGAAAGTTTCAAGTCGATCTGATACTCGAAAGTATTTTTCAGGATTTTTCAAACATGATTTAACGTGAATTTTCCAACTTTTTCTGGCAATGAGTTGGAAAAAACCTCATAACTTTATTTCTGAGCTTCAGATTGACTTCAAATTTGCCTTCTTTGATAAAAACATTCTGGTTAATAAATCCTAAAAGTTTGAAATTGATCTGATACTCTGAAATATTTTTCAGGATTCCCACCGGCATCTTTTGATGAAAGTCCAAAAATAAAATCTAATTTTTCTTTGTCAAAGCTAGGAAGAGGTGGCTCAAAGAGAAAACAAATTTACCTATATAAATTCCGAACCAATAAATCTTTAATGATAAAAGCTTTGACTTGTTTTCAATATTTAAAAATAATGTTTTAATGCATTGATTATTGATGTCCTGCAAAAAAACTAATGCAATAGAATAAGGAACAAGGAAATGATTACCTACTTAAACATTTTCTTTGGTAAAATCCATTAACCAATTATCAAAAAATCAATAAATCATAACTAAAACGAATAGTATAAATACAAAGAGGCTCTGAATAGTTAACAATTGGTGCTCAAACCTGAAACCATCATGCAGAAAGTTTATATTTCCTTGCTGGTCATTCTATCAGCTGTTGCTGTGCGTTCTGGACATGATGGTGATTGGTGTGAAGATTGTCGACCATGTCCGCGTGAGGCTATAATTTGTCCTAAGGGCACACATCCTGGATACGCTGATCCTTGCCAATGTTGTCTATCTTGTGTAATCAGTAAGTAGTTTTGTTTTAAAAATATTTTATGCATTAAGAGTACCCTTTTAATCCTTGTTTTTAAAGAGTAAACTGGAACAGGGATTAAAAAGTAGGTACACTTTTATTCCCTTGTTTTATTCAATCTCTGGAAAATGAAGTAAAGTGCGTAAAATAGCGTATACCACTTTAGTACCTAGGTGTATATTGTATTATTGTAATTAAACGCTGTTGATTTTCTAGGCGAAGGAGACAAGTGTCCTTGGAAAGGCCCTGAACCACCCTCTGGACCTGTTGAATGTGAAGACGGTACAGAGTGTTGTGATTGGAGATGCTCTAGGTATTGTGACAAGTAATCATTGACGACAGATGCATTTATTATACCGACATACTTCTAGCTTTATAAAAAAAAATGGTGGTGGGTTTTTGGGATTTGAATCAGTTGATTTTTGAATAAATTCTGGTTTTCAAGCATTTTAATCACTGTTTTTGCTTACCGACTATTCCAAACTTTCCATATACCTGCTCGATTTTCCTCTATTCAACCATTTTATGTTGACCCCTATAAAGAAGTTTCTAGAAAAATATTTTGAACATGGTATTTTTCGTACTTTGATTCAAAAACTTGCAAAGTAAATTTGGTCACCTATTTTTTTCTACAAAAATAGATTGAATAATGACTACTTCTTAGATGAGTAGTAAAAAAAAATTATTAACTAAGCCTATACTGTGTAGAAATAATTAGATTCCATTTTTTTTTAGGTATAATTTTCTTAAGTATTGACAATTCCTAAGAAGCTTAACATGGCAGATATAAACTGTATATTGTGTTCTGAAAATGAAAGCGAAACTTGAAAGTTTGTTAAGTTGTCTGCCAAAGGTATACAAGGAATCATGAAGTCTGTTTATTTTCAAACGTCATATAACGGTAATTTTTGTGATCATTTTGACAAGGTATAAGAGTCACTTCAATGAATTTTAGCTTGAGTGGCGTATAAGTGTTATACTCCGCCGGAGTATAATAACATTTATACGCCATTACACATGTTTTTTCATAGCGATTAAAGGTAGTTCACCTGTACATACAGGTATAGGTGCTTATAAAGGTGATTTTTCTAAATATTATGAATGTCATAATTTAAATTAAGAATGCTTGAAAATAAAATATTGTTTTTTATTCAGAGTATAAGTATTCTTCATGTGACAAACTTCCATGCGCGTCACATAAGTATTACTTATACTCCTAAAAAAATAAATACCTAGGTTATCTTCGGTTATCCCTACAATAATTATCCCCAGTTATTCCCTAACTATCTGCTGGAATATGGTCCTCTTTTATTGTTGATATATTTGTCTTATAGCGATCAAATACTCTTCTAAGTTTAGTATGCTTTCATTTTTCCAGTTATCTCCTGGTTATCATTTGGTTATCCTTTGGTTATCCCCAGAATCTCGAATTATTTCCGATTATCCTTGGCGCATGTACACCAAATATCCCCAGTGAACTGACCAGTACAAACATTTTTTACTCTATTTTCCTATGTTCGCTGACTGCAATTTTCCTTTGATTCCTTGGAACATACACATGTAATTTTGAAAGATTTTTCTTTTTCCAAAATGAATTTTTCTCTTTTCACTCTAAAACTTCCAAAATTCTCCCATCAACATCCTCTGGAAAAATTATCAAAGTATGAAAGGGCGCATTTTTCTTAATTTTGTTTTATTGAGTTGCTTTTCAAGATTTTCTCATGTTGCCATTTCTCATCGAATCAATTTGAAATTTAAGTATGATGAGCTCCTTCTCTTCCTCTTTTTACTCCAGAAGTTTCAACATTTTTTTCTCAACAATCAACAATCTTTCGAAAAATCACCAAAATGTGAAAAATGTCTGTTTTTCTTAATGTGGTTTTTTAAAATTGCTATTCAAGATTTTCTCATGCTGCCATTTTCCATCAAATCAATTCGAAATTTCGGTATGATAAGCTCCTTTCCTTCCTTTCTTCACTCCAAAAGTTTTAAAATTTTCCCATCAGCAATTTTTTGAAAAATAATTAGAATAACGTGAAAGGGTGCATTTGTCTTAATTTGCTTTTTTCAAGTTGCTATTCAAGATTTTCTTATGTTGCATTTTTTTATCGAATTAATTTCAAATTCCAGTATGATGAGCTCCTTTTGTTCCTCTTTCTAAATTTTCCCATTACCAATCTTTGAAAAATCATCAAAATATGAAAGGGTGCTCCCAAGGGAAATCTGGTGTACAATTTAGGAGAAATCCACCCGAAGAAATTTAAGGCAATGAGAAGAAATCATGAGGAAATCAAAGGGGAATCTTTAGGAAATCAAGGAAGTCTTAAGGAACTCAAGGGTTAATCTTAACGAAATCATAGGAAATCTTAAGGAAATCAGTCAATCTCGAGATCTAACGCATGTACAGATTTCGAAAATCTTTATAATTTGAGGTTATGTTATCAGGGGAATTCTCAGACAATCTTTCTGTTAATTAGAAGAAATGAGGGGAAATTATGGGAAATCATCCATGATTTTTCCCAAAACCGCAACTGACTTGCGGTTTACCCCTAGGGATAACCGGCGGGGAAAATCTGGTGCAGAAACTGGGGTAAATTGGAAGGAAATCTAAGGCAATTACGGAATATCATAAGGAATTTAGAGAAAATCCAGAGGAATCTCAAAAAACTCAGGTAAAATCTTGAGGAAATTATAGGAAATCTTGAGGAAATCAATCTCTAGATGTAACGCATGAGCAAATTTCAAAAATCTTTATATTTTGAGATCATGTTATCAGGGGAATTCTTGGACAATCTTACTGGTAATCAGAACAAATCAGGAAAAATCATCCATGATTTTCCCTAAAATTCCACTCTGGTGTACAATTTTTTTTTCCCTTCTTTTGATATTTTTTATTTTCCTTTTACTTTACTCATCCAGTATAATGAGCTCCTTTTCTTCCTCTTTTCACTCCAGAAGTTTCAGACAATTAATAATAATTAACAATCTTTCGAAAAATCATCTAAATATAAATGGGTGCCTCCATAAGTGAACAAATAAGGGATAATCAAGAGAGAACACGAAAAAATTCAAGGTAATCAGGAAAAATCATAAGGGGATCGAGAAGAAATCATGAGGAAATCAAGGGGAATGTTAAGGAACTCAGTATGATGAGCTCCTTTTATACCTCTTTCCACTCTAGAAGTTTCAAAATTTTCCCATTACCAATTTTTCGAAAAATCATCAGAATATGAAAGGGTTCCCCCAAGGAAAATCTGGTGTACAATTTAGGGGAAATCCATCTGAAGAAATCTAAGGTAATCAAGAAAAATCATAAGGAAATGAGAAGAAATCATTAGGAAATTAAGGGGAATCTTTAGGAAATCATAGGAAATCTTAAGGAAATTAGAGGTAATCATGGGGAATCTTAAGGAACCCAGGGGTAAATCTTAACGAAATCATGGGAAATTTTAAGGAAATCAGTCAATCTCTAGATCTAACGCATGTACAGATTTCGAAAATCTTTATAATTTGAGGTTATGTTATCAGGGGAATTTTCGGACAATCTTTCTATTAATTAGAAGAAATGAGGGGAAATTATGGGAAATCATCCATGATTTTTCCCAAAACCACAACTGACTTGCGGTTTATCCCTCGGGATAAACCACGAGAGAAATCTGGTGCAGAAATTGGGGGAAATTGGGAGGAAATCTAAGGCAATTAGGGGAAATCATAAGGAATTTAGAGGAAATCCTCAAAAGAAAGGTGAAATCTTTAGGAAATTATAGGAAACCTTAAGGAAATCAATCTTTGTAACGCATGCGCAGATTTCAAAAATCTTTATATTTTGAGGTCATGTTATCAGGGGAATTCTTGAACAATTTTACTGGTAATCAGAACAAATCAGGAAAAATCTTCCATGATTTTCCCTAAAATTCCACTCTGGTGTACAAAAACTTTTTTTCCTTCTTCTGTTATTTTTTATTTTCCCTTTACTTTACTCATCCAGTATAATGAGCTCCTTTTCTTCCTCTTTTCACTCCAGAAGTTTCAGAAATTTTCTAATAACAATCTTTCGAAAAATCATCTAAATATAAATGGGTGCCTCCATAAGTGTACAAATAAGGGGTAATCACGAGAGAACACGAAGAAATCCAAGGCAATCAGGAAATATCATAAGGGAATCGAGAAGAAATCATAAGGAAATCAAGGGGAATGTTAAGGAACTCAGTATGATGAGCTCTTTTTATACCTCTTTCCACTCTAGAAGTTTCAACATTTTCCCGTTACCAATTTTTCGAAAAATCATCAGAATATGAAAGGGTTTCCCCAAGAGAAATCTAGTGTACAATTTAGGGGAAATCCATCTGAAGAAATCTGAGGCAATCAAGAAAAATCATAAGGAAATGAGAAGAAATCATTAGGAAATTAAGTAGAATCTTTAGGACATCATAGGAAATCTTAAGGAAATTAGAGGAACTCATGGGGAATCTTAAGAAATTCAGGGATAAATCTTAACGAAACCATAAGAAATCTTAAGGAAATCTAGATCTAACGCCCACTGAACATGCAATGTTACGAAAGCCTAATGCAATATTACTCTGATATGCTCTGATCTTAGTTTCGCAACATTACAATGTAATATTGAATTATTTTTGATACAACATTACGTTGATAAATTACAAAATGGAATATCCTTGAAATTTTAACGCATATTAGAAATTATAACTTGTACGCAAATTAACATTGTAAATATGCATTTAAATTGAACTGGTATAAATTTTGCAATGTTATAATAACTACCAAATGTAAACTTGCTGCAAAATTGGAAATATAACTTGTAGGTAAGGTTACATCGCAAAGATGCCTTAAAGTTGTCTTGATATTATTTTGCAATGTTATAATTTAATATTGAATGTAAACTTGCTGAAGCTTTGCCGCCATTGATAACGATCGGAACGACATCGGGGATACGAACTAAACCGAAAGCAAATCGACGCCATCAAGTCGCTATTTGTCGTTTGAGTTCAGTGCTGTGTCTGCTGGTTGAATGTTGTGTCTGTGATAAAGCGAATCTCGGCTAAATTTTTGGTGTTCGTGTTGGGATTATGTATTGGAACGGTTCAGGTAGTGCTTTGCTTTTTGGTTATTTTTATTATTCAGTTTTTATTTTAGAACCTGTGGAAATGAAATAAATATACAGCGATTACAATGGATGAGGATTCAAATAAGGTGAGTAAGGTTTGCATAGTCAATAAATACTTTTTACAAAAATACTGCGGAATGGGGCCCCTTTTTTCTAAACCGTAACCTCTTTTTTTTCATACCTACAAATCACGTATTATTATTATATTACTTATTATGATTTTACGATAATATTTTAGTTAGGATCAAAAATATCGTAAACCGTTTGGTAGGTAATGTCCAGAAAGAAAGTGGCTACGACGGGGAATAATTATTATAATAAAAATACAGAACTACTCCCTGATTTTGTTTTTGTTTCAGGTGACAATATAAGTAGCAGCTGTGGTAGCAGCCAGTACCTACTTCGTTCTGTGTATGAACCAATCTAAAATTTCGCTTTTTTTTTCTGTTTAGAATTTTTATTTATTTTGCTTTGAGATATTACTTTTTACGTTTTGTTTTTCACCTAAGTATATTTTTCTATTGTGATTATTATAGATATACATAATATACCAACCTTTTTATTTTGTTTTCCAAAAACTTGTACTTTTATTTATAATAAAATATCTACCTAATATCATTATGGGTTTCAGGCACAAATTTTAACAGCTTGTTTTTAGAACAAGCTGTAAGAGTTTATGCACCGCAACTCAAATCTCTCTGTATAGGTACATAGTATTTACAGTTGCAAACATTACTTTTTTATTGCAGTAAAGTTGCGAACCCAATATATTTGTAATAAAAATGCATTATTGCAGTAAACTTACTAATAAATTGCAAGTAACCCTAAGGTATATTTAAATTTGTAACCTTACACTCGTAAGTTTACTGAAGTTTTGATCTAATATTCCAGTAATATTGCTGGAAGGTTATCATTTATAAACCTTGCATTTGTAATATTACCCTAAGGTTGTTTCAGTACTTGCCGCAATACTGCGTCAACATTACAGTAAACTTCAATATAACCTTACACGTTTGCAGTGTAATGTTACCTCATTATTACTGTAATCTTATTTTGTTCAGTGGGCGCATGCGCAGATTTCGAGAATCTTTATAATTTGAGGTTATGCTATCAGGGGAATTCTTAGACAATTTTTCTGTTAATTAGAAGAAATGAGGGGAAATTATGGGAAATCATTCATGATTTTCCCCAAAACGCAACTGACTTGCGGTTTACCTCTCGGAATAAACTGCGAGGGAAATCTGGTGCAGAAATTAGGGGAAATTGACCAAGGCAATTAGGGGAAATCATAAGGATTTTAGAGGAAATCTAGAGAAATCTCAAAAAACTCAGGTAAAATCTTGAGGAAATCATAGGAAATCTTAAGGAAATCAGAAAAATCATCCATGATTTTCCCTAAAATTCCACTCTGGTGTACAAAAACTTTTTTCCCTTCTTCTGATATTTTTTATTTTTCTTTTACTTTACTCTTTCCACCCCAGAAGTTTCAATAATTTTCCAATTAACAATCTTTCGAAAAATTATCTAAATATAAATGGGTGTACAAATAAGGGGTAATCAAGAGAGAACACGTAGAAATCCAAGGCAATCAGGAAAAATCATAAGAGAAGTGAGAAGAAATTATGAGGAAATCAATGAGAATCTTAAGGAACTCTCTTAACGAAATCATGGGAAATCTTAGGTAAGAAAATTAGAGGAAATCATGAGGAAATCAAGAGGAAATTTTAAAGAAGCCAGGATAAATCTTAACGAAATCGTAGGATATCTTAAGGAAATCAGTCAATCTCTAGATCTAACGCATGCACAGATTTCGAAAATCTTTATAATTTGAGGTTATGTTATCAGGGGAATTCTTAGACAATCTTTCTGTTAATAAGAAGAAATGAGAGGAAATTATAGGAAATCATCCATGATTTTTCTCAAAACCGCAACTGACTTGCGGTTTAACCCTCGGGATAAACCGCGAGGGAAATCTGGTCCAGAAATGAGGGGAAATTGGAAGGAAATCTAAGGCAATCAGGGGATATCATAAGGAATTTAGAGGAAATCCAGAGAAATCTCAAAAGACTCAAGTAAAATGTTGAGGAAGTTATAGGAAATCTTAAGGAAATCAATCTCTAGATGTAACGCATGCGCAGATTCAAAAATCTTTATATTTTGAGGTCATGTTATCAGGGGAATTCTTGGATAATCTTACTGGTAATCAGAACAAATCAGGAAAAATCATCCATGATTTTTCCTAAAATTCCACTCTGGTGTACAATAGTATATTACATACCGAGGTGGGAAGAGTTTCATTACTGTCGAGAGATTAGTTAGTTAACTGAGACGCTTCGCGTCTCAGTTAACTATAATCTCGAGACAGGAATGAAACTTCCTACCGAGGTTTGTATACTATTTTATTTACAACAATTACAACCCTCATAATTTCGACTAAATACAAACAAAAAAATAATAAAAATTTGTTGACAAGTTTTGACTCATTTAAAAAAACGTTTGACATGCAGGACTCGTCTTAAACATTTAAGGAAATGAGAACTTACTCTCCACCCGGGTGGAAAGTGAGCACTTTCCACCTGGGTGGAAAGTAAAATTCAAAAAAGTGTCACTTTTAAACTTTTGAAAAGTTAGAAATGTCAACATTACGTATGTAGTTGTAAATAAAAACTTTTTTTCCTTCTTCTGATATTTTTGATTTTCCCTTTACTTTACTCATCCAGTATAATGAGCTTATTTTCTCCCTCTTTTCACTCCAGAAGTTTCACAAATATTCCAATTAACAATCTTTCGAAAAATCATCTAAATATAAATGGGGGCCTCCAAGCGAAATCGGGTGCACAAATAAGCAGTAATCATGAGGAAACACAAAGAAATCCAAGGCAATCAGGAAAAATCATAAGGGAAACGAGAAGAAATCATGAGGAAATCAAGGGGAGTCTTAAGGAATTCAGGGGAAATCTTAACGAAATCATATGGGAAATCTTAGGTAAGGAAATTAGAGGAAATCGAGAGGAAATTTTAAAGAAGCCATGGTAAATCTTAACGAAATCGTAGGATACCTTAAGGAAATCAGTCAATCTCTAGATCTAACGCATGCGCAGATTTCAAAAATACTTATAATTTGAGGTTATATTACCAGGGGAATTCTCGGATAATCTTTCTGGTAATCAGGAAAAATCAGGGGAAATTACCTACGGGAAATCATCTATGACTTTCCCTAAGCCCGTAACCTAATGTACAAAAACTGACCTGCGGTTCACCTCTCGGGATAAACCGCAAGGGAAATCTGGTGTATATACAAATTAGAAAAAATTGAGAGGAAATCTAAGGCAATCAGGGAAAATAATAAGAAAATTAGAAAGAACCATGAGGAAATTAAAGGGAATCTTAAGAAGAAATTATTAGCAAATTGTAGACATAATTTTTCTATTATCGGCTCTCAATCTCGTATTTCCTTTCAAGTTTTCTTTGTATTTGGTGAAATTTAGAAGCAAGTAAGAATTCAAGAGCCAAGAATAAACAAAAAATGAAACCAAGAAATTTATAAATGGAAAGGAAATTCAAGGCAAACTGAGGAGAAATTATTGACAAAGTGTAGGAATTTAGAGGAAATCATGACGAATGGAGGGAAATGGTGTACAAATTAGGAGAAATTAAGAGAAAATCTAAGGTAGGTAATCAGGGGAAATCATAAGGAATTTAGAGGAAATTAAGGTAAATTCCAAGGAATTTGGGCAAACAAAACAATATTCGATATTGTTCTATTCCCGGCTCTTGAATTCACTCGACTGAAAACAAATTAAATTCAAGAGCCGGGAATGGGAAAAAATATTAAATTATTACCTACTATACAGGGTGACACAAGGAATAGGGAACAGCCTATAACTTTTTTAATATATAAGTTGAAAATTTGAAATTTGGAAAGCTTAAACGAGGCAACTTTTAGAGTTTTTTAGAAATAAATTGCGTTACCAGTCAGTTCCGGTTAAACCGGGAGTGGCTACAACTTTTGATTTTCAAATAGGACACCCGGTATTTTTTAAGTTTTTTGGCATCAGCAGATCATTTTAAGTATGATAGGACTATTTTTGGAAAATTTTTAATTGAATTTTAGAAAAAAAAATTCGGCGCTGCCACTGGTGTAAATTGATTTAGATGGATATTCTTAATATCAGGAAAATCTGTAACTCCGATTTTTTCCTAATGAACGCCATAATTTTAGACCAAAATGAAACAAAGAGGTTTTTTCAAAGTAGATATTCCATATTTTTCAGATGTAACCATGCCGGGACCTATCAATTTCTTGAAACTAGATTTTTTTCCCTATTTTTTGATATCAACATTTTTGAAATCCGCTGAGAAATAACCCAACAACTTTTGAAAAATCCTAATTTTTAAATGCAATTTGTTTTTTGGTTTTGTTATAAATCTTTCAAAAATGGTCCTATCATACGTAAAATGATCTGCTGATGCCAGAAAACTGAAAAAATACCGGGTCACCCTGTATATTTGTCTTGTAATTTATCCAAATTTGCTTCTTCAGTTTCCGTTTTTACTCTTGAATGAATAAAAACTTCTGCTTCTATTCTAATATAGGCCTTGATGTGAAGAGTTTATGGTGTCCATATATTTTAAGAAATCAAGGGGAGTCAGCAAAAGGAAAAAGAACCAGTAAAAAAACCAGTGATAAATTGAACATGCTCAACTTTATTCAAAAATCAACCCATTGAAACCAAGACCCAAAACAACCAAAACCGTGTTTTTTTCTAAAATGCTAGAGGTAGGTATATCGATCATGCCTGTGTCTTGGATGGTTACTTCTTGTCACAATCCTCAGTGCAAATTCCATTGCAACAATCTGTATCAACTACACATTCAACTTTTCCAGAGGGTGGATCAGGACCGGTCCAAGGACAATCGTCACCTTCCTCTATAAACCAACCATGTTTAGTTACAAAATATCTTTACATAAAAAGTTACTTACGAATTACACAACTTGGACAACATTGGCAAGGATAAGCGTATCCTTCTACTGTGCCCCAAGGACAATCTATGTCGTCACAATCGTCACAATGACCACACACACTAGCTTCAGCTGCGGACTGCTGTCCTCCGAAACACACAGTGACAGCTGATAGAACAACTAACAACGAAATGTAAAGTTTCTGCATGATTTCAGTAGGTTCAGGTACCAATTGCCAACTATTGGAAACATCTTCCTATTTATACTATTTCATTTTTAATTATAATTTATTGATTTTTTGATAATAGGCTAATGGATTTTTACTAAAGAAAATGTTTACTCATTTCACACTATCGTAGTCATTTTCAATGTTTTTTGCAAAAGTTATCATAATCAATGTATTAAAAAAGTGTTTTTACTTACTGAAAACAAGTCAAAGGTTTTATCATTGAAGATTTATTTGTTGGCGCAATTTAGCTTAGGTAACCTTTTCATCGAAAAAAATAAATCAATTTTCTTCACTCACTGTGATTGTATAAGACATTTCACATATATGAAAATTCTATCTTGTATCAACTAAATACTTAAGTAAAGTCACCGAGTTTATCACAATCTGGCTTTAACAAATCGTACCTTATCATGGATTTTATAGGTAGGTATTCAGAAATTGTCTAAATATTTTGATTTGAAGCTTTTGGAGAAGAAAATCTGAAGCAACTGGCAAGAAATTTCAATTTAAACGCGAGGTAGGTATCTCAAATTCCTTGGAATTTTCTTTAATTTCCTCTAAATTCCTTATGATTTCTCCTGATTACCTTAGATTTTCTTTTAATTTCTCCTAATTTATACATTTCCTCTAAATTCCTACACTTTGTCAATAATTTCTTCTCAATTTGCCTAAAATTTCCTTTCCATTTATCAATTTCTCGGTCTCAATTTTTGTCTATTCTTGGCTCTTGAAGTCTTACTTGTTTCTACAAATACAAAGATACCTCGAGACGAAATACGAGAACGAGAGCCGAGAATTAAAAAATTATGTCTACACTTTGCCAATAATTTCTTCTAATTTTGCCTTGAATTGCCTTTCCATTTATCAATTTCTCGATCTCAATTTTTGTCTATTCTTGGCTCTTGAATTCTTACTTAATTCTAAATTTCACCAAATACAAAGAAAACTCGAGAGGAAATACGAGAACGAGAGCCGATAATAGAGAAATTATGTCTACAATTTGCTAATAATTTCTTCTTAAGATTTCCCTTGATTTCCTTCCTCATGGTTCTCTCTAATTTCCTTATTATTTTCCCTGAATGCCTTAGATTTCCTCTCAATTTTCCCTAATTTGTACATACACCAGATTTCCGAGGGGTGAACCGCAGGTCAGTTTTTGTACATTCGATTGCGGGCTTAGGAAAAGTCATAGATGATTTCCCGTAGGTAATTTCCCCTGATTTCTTCTGATTACCAGTTAGATTGTCCAAGAATTCCCCTGATAACATGATTTCAAACTATAAAGATTTTTGAAATCTGCGCATGCGTTAGATCTAGAGATTGATTTCCTTAAGATTTCCCATAATTTCCTCAAGATTTTACCTGAGTCTTTTGAGATTTCTCTGGATTTCCTCTAAATTCCTTATGATTTCCCCTAATTGCCTTAGATTTCCTTTCCAATTTTCCCTAATTTTTGCAACAGGTTTCCCTCGCGGCTTATCTCGAGGTGTAAACCGCAAGTCAGTTGCGGTTTTGGGAAAAATCATGGATGATTTCTTCTAATTAACAGAGACATTGTCCAAGAATTCTGATAAAATAACCTTAAATTATAAAGATTTTGGAGATCTGCGCATGCGTTAGATCTAGAGGTTGACTGATTTCCTTAAGATTTCCTATGGTTTTGAGAAGATTTACCCCTGAGTTCCTTAAGATTCCTCTAATTTCCTTAAAATTTCTCATGATTTCCTAAAGATTCCCCTTGATTTCCTCATGATTTCTTCTCATTTCCTTATGATTTTTCCTGATTGCCTTAGATTTCTTCGGATGGATTTCTCCTAATTTGTACACCATTTTCTTGATTCGTCATGATTTCTTCTTAATTCCTACACTTTGTCAATAATTTCTCCTCAATTTGCCTTGAATTTCCTTTCCATTCATCAATTTCTCGGTTTCATTTTTTGTCTATTTTTGGCTTTTGAATTCTTACTTGCTTCTAAATTTCATCAAATACAAAGAAAACTCGAGAGGAAATACGAGAACGAGAGCCGAGAATAGAAAAATTATGTCTTCAATTTGCTAATAATTTCTTCTCAAAATTCCCTTTGATTTCCTCATGGTTCTCTCTAATTTCCTTATTATTTTCCCTTATTGCCTTAGGTTTCCTCTCAATTTTCCCTAATTTGTACATACACCAGATTTTCCTTGCGGTTTATCCCGAGAGGTGAACCGCAGGTCAGTTTTTGTACATTAGGTTGCGGGCTTAGGAAAAGACATAGATGATTTCCCGTAGGTAATTTCCCCTTGGCTTCTTTAAAATTTTCTCTTGATTTCCTTACCTAAGATTTCCCACGATTTCAGGATTTCCCCTGAGTTCCTTAAGATTCCCTTGATTTCCTCATGATTTCTTCTCCTTTTCCTTATGATTTTTCCTGATTGCCTTGGATTTTTTCGTGTTTTCTCTTGATTACCCCTTATTTGTACATACACTTATGGAGGCACCCATTCATATTTAAATGATTTGCCTGATTTCTTCTGATTAGTAGTAAGATTGTCCAAGAATTCCCCTGATAACATGACCTCAAAATATAAAGATTCTTGAACTCTGCGCATGCGTTAGATCTAGAGATTGATTTCCTTAAGATTTCCCATAATTTCCTCAAGATTTTACCTGAGTCTTTTGAGATTCCTCTGAATTTCCTCTAAATTCCTTATGATTTTCCCTAATTGCCTTAGATTTCCTTTCAATTTTCCCTAATTTCTGCACTAGATTTCCCTCGCGGTTTATCCCGAGGGGTAAACCGCAAGTCAGTTGCGGTTTTGTGAAAAATCATGGATGATTTCCCATAACTCCCCATCATTTCTTCTAATCAACAGAAAGATTGTCCAAGAATTCTTCTGACAACATAAACCTCAAATTATAAAGATTTTCGAAATCTGCGCATGCGTTAGATCTAGAAATTGACTGATTTCCTATGATTTCGTTAAGATTTAAGATTCCCCATGATATCCTTTAATTTCCCTAAGATTTCCCATGATTTCCTAGAGATTCCCCTTGATTTCCTCATAATTTCTTCTCATTTCCTTATGATTTTTCCTGATTGCCTTAAATTTCTTCGGATGGATGTCCCCTAAATTGTACACCAGATTTTCCTTGGGGGCACCCTTTCATATTTTGATGATTTTTAATGGGAAAATTTCAAAACTTCTAGAGTGGAAAGAGGAACAAAAGGAGCTCATCATACTGAAATTTGAAATTAATTCGATGAAAAATAGCAACATAAGAAAATCTTGAATAGCAACTTGAAAAAAGCAAATTAAAACAAATGCACCCTTTCACGTTATTCTGATTATTTTTCAAAAAATTGCTGATGGGAAAATTTTGAAACTTTCGGAATGAAGAAGGGAAGGAAAGAAGCTTATCATACAGCAATTTCGAATTGATTCGATGAAAAATGGCAACATGAGAAAATCTTGAAAAGCAATTTTAAAAAAGTAAATTAAGAAAAACACATTTTCACATTTTGGTGATTTTTCGAAAAATTGTTGATGAAAAAATGTTGAAATTTTTGGAGTAAAAAGAGAAAGAGAAGGAGCTCATCATACTGAAATTTCAAATTGATTCAATGAGAAATGGCAACATGAGAAAATCTTGAAAAGCAACTTAATAAAACAAAATTAAGGAAAATGCACCCTTCCATATTTTGATAATTTTTCCAAAGCAAGTTAAGGAGAGAATTTTGAAAGTTTTGGAGTGAAAAGAGAAAGAGAAGAGGTTCATCATAGTGAAATTTCAAAATAATTCGAAAAAAAATGGCAACATGAGAGAATTTTGAAAAACAACTTTAAAAAATCAAATTTCTTCCACATTTTGATGATTTTTCGAAAGATCTTCGATAGGAAAATTTCAAAACTTTTGAAGTGAAAAGAGGAAGAAAAGGAGCTCATTATATTGAAATTTGAAATTGATTCAATGAAAAATGACAGCACGAGAAAATCTTGAAAACCAAATTAAGAAAACTGCACCCTGGAAAAATTTTGAAACTTTTAGAGTAAAAAAAGGAAAATTGATTTTGAAAAAAAAATATTTAAAAACTACATGTGCATGTTCCAAGAAATCAAGGGAAAATTGCAGTCAGCGAACATAGAAAAATGGAGTAAAAAATGTTTGAACTGCTCAGTTCACTATGGGGCTATTTGGTGTATGTACATGGCCAAGGATAACCGGAATACTTCGGGATTTTGGGGATAACTAGGGAAAACCAAATGATAACCAGGAGATAACTGGAAAAATGTTAGCATACTAAACTTAGAAGAAAGAGTACATTTGGCAATATTGGATAGGTATTTGATCGCTATTAGACAAATATATCAACAATAAAAGAGGACCATATTCCTCTTGATTTCCTCATGATTTCCTCTAATTTCCTTACATAAGATTTTCCATATGATTTCGTTAAGATTTTCTCTGAGTTCCTTAAGATTCCCCTCGATTTTGTCATGATTTCTTCTCGTTTCCCTTATGATTTTTCCTGATTGCCTTGGATTTCTTTGTGTTTTCTCTTGATTACTCCTTATTTGTACACTTATTCATATTTGGATGTTTTTTCGAAAGATTGTTATTTGGGAAATTTTTGAAACTTCTGGGGTGGAAAGAGAAAGAAAAGGAGCTCATTATACTGGATGAGTAAAGTGAAGAAGAGAAAAAAGTTTTTGTACACCAGAGTGGAATTTTAGGGAAAATCATGGATGATTTTCCCTGATTTCTTCTGATTACCAGTAAGATTGTCCAAGAATTCCCCTGATAACATGACCTCAAAATATAAAGATTTTTGAAATCTGCGCATGCGTTAGATCTAGAGATTGATTTCCTTAAGATTTCCCATAATTTCCTCAAGATTTTTTCTGAGATTTCTCTAGATTTCCACTAAATTCCTTATGATTTCCTCTGATTGCCTTAAATTTCCTTCCAATTTCCCCTGATTTCTGCACCAGATTTCCCTCGCGGTTTATCATGAGGGGTAAACCGCAAGTCAGTTGCGGTTTTGGGAAAAATCATGGACGATTTCCCATAATTTCCCCTCATTTCTTCTAATCAACAGAAAGATTGTCCAAGAATTGCCCTGATAAAATAACCTCAAATTATAAAGATTTTCGAAATCTGCGCATGCGTCAGATCTTGAGATTCACTAATTTCCTTAAGATTTCCTATGATTTCCTTAAGATTTCTTATGATTTCGTTAAGATTTACCCCTGAGTTCCTTAAGATTCCTCATGTTTTCCTCTAATTTCCTTAAGATTTCCCATGATTTCCTAAAGATTTCCCTTGATTTCCTCATGATTTCTTCTCACTTCCTTATGGTTTTTCCTGATTGCCTTAGATTTCTTCGGATGGATTTCCCCTAAATTGTACACCAGATTTCCCTTAAGGGCACCCTTTCATATTTTGATGATTTTTCGAAAGATTGGTAACGGAAAAATTCCGAAACTTCTAGAGTGGAATGAGGAACAAAAGGAGCTCATCATACTGAAATTAATTCGATGAAAAATGGCAACATAAGAAAATCTTGAATAGCAACTTTAAAAAAGCAAATTAAGACAAATGCACCCTTTCACGTTATTCTGATTATTTTTCAAAAAATTGCTGATAGGAAAATATTAAAACTTTTGGAGTGAAGAAAGGAAGGAAAGGAGCTTATCATACAGAAATTTCGAATTAATTCGATGAAAAATGGCAACATGAGAAAATCTTGAAAAGCAATTTTAAAAAATCAAATTAAGAAAAACACACATTTTCAAATTTTCGTGATTTTTCAAAAGATTGTTGACGGAAAAAGGTTGAAACTTCTGGAGTAAAAAGAGGAAGAAAAGGAGCTCATCATACTGAAATTTTAGATTGATTCGATGAGAAATGGCAACATGAGAAAATCTTGGAAAGCAACTTAATAAAACAAAATTAAGAAAAATGCACCCTTTCATATTTTTCCAAAAGATGTTATTGGGAGAATTTTGAAAGTTTCGGAGTGAAAAGAGACAGAAAAGAAGTTCATGATAGTGAAATTTCAAAATGATTCGATGAAAAATGGCAACATGAGAGAATCTTGAAAAACAACTTTAAAAAACCAAATTGAGAAAAATACATTTTGGTGATTTTCGATGAGAAAATTTCAAAACTTTTGTAGTGAAAAGAGAAAGAAAAGGAGCTCATCACACTGAAATTTGAAATTGATTCCATGAAACATGAGAAAATCTTGAAAAGCAAATTAAGAAAAATGCATTTGATGATTTTTCAAAAGACTGTTAATGGAAAAATTTTGAAACTTTTAGAGTGAAAAGAGGAAAATTGATTTTGGAAAAAGAAAAATCTTCAAAAATTACATGTGTATGTTCCAAGAAATCAAGGGAAAATTGCAGTCAGCCAACATAGAAAAATGGAATAAAATTTTTTTGTACTGGTCAGTTCATTGGGGATATTTGGTGTAAGACATATGGGCCAAGGATAATCGGAAATAATTCTGGAGATAACCAAAGGATAACCAAATGATAACCAGGGGATAACTGAAAAAATTAAAGCATACTAAACTTAGAAGAGTATTTTGATCGCTATTAGACAAATATATCAATATTAAAAGAGGACCATATTCCAGCAAATAGTTAGGGGATAACTGGGGATAATTATTATAGGGATAACCGGAGATAACAGCGGATATTCGGGAAATAACCAGGGATTATTAAAAATAACTGAGGATAAACTTGAAATAGGAAGGAAGTTTAGTGTACCTACACAATTTTACAATCAATTCTGGATGGAAAGTTTGGAAAATGATTAACAGATCGAAAGTTCTTCATACTATTGGCAAAAACCATCATCATTGTGACTTATAATGAAACTTCTCTGCAAACTAAGTACAATATTGATTATGAGGGCCAGTCCATTATGGAAACTTTGGACTTACAACTGTTTGTTTAAGTCAATATTTAGATTCACAGTTGGGAAATGAGGCTATTCAATATGGAACTTCACTTCATAGCTGTGGTAAAAATCCAACGAAAAAGTTACTGATAATAATAATAGTAACAGCTAGATTAGGCGTTAATTATTAACGCTAAAGTTTCCACAACAAGTGTGGAAAAAAAATAATGTATCGACAATCATTTCCATTAGCCGTTTTATCAAAAAACTAATAAATTTTATTTAAAACAAAAACAATAAATAGGAAAGTTTTTCAAAAATTACTATTATAAACATGCAGAAAGAGGGTATTATTATAATAATAGTTGCTTCAATTATTATTGCAATGTGCAAAGATGAACAAGTTCGTCCCTGCAATGTACCTTGTCAGGACTGTCCATGTTTGAATTGTCCAGAAGGCACCGTACCTGGAAATTACATGTACTGCCAGTGTTGTCAAACTTGTGTGATTCGTAAGTAACTTTTATCAACAAATATTTTGTAATTTGAAAGATAATTGATTTACAGCTGAAGGAGGAAAATGTCCTTGGACGGGTGACGAACCAGATTCTGGAGACGTTGAATGCGAAGTTGGTACAAATTGTTGTAATGGAATTTGCTCCTTAAATTGTGGTTGAATAAATAGATATTTTGTTTTTGTTTAGTTGCCTCTTTTTAGAATTAAGAAATAATATTGAATTATATTAGTATTGTTATGTATAAACCTACAAGATATTACCTACATTATTTTTAAAAAAATGAGAATATCGTGTATAATTTGGCAATAAAGATATCCATTATATAGAGGCGGGTTTTTCAATATTTCAAATGATCAGGACATCCATATCTTTTTCTGTTTTTCTGATACCAGGCTTTTGAATTTTCTCTATTTCAACAAATTTATGAACCAGAAATGGACAAAAATTGAGCTGGAAAAATTGGGAAATGGATACTGAATACAAAGACATTCTGAAGGCTCAAGACTTCGTCTGAGAACCATGAAAAATCAAGTCAAAAAGGTCTCATAACTGAAACTGTTGAAAAATTTAGGATTTTGAATCAAAATTCTTGGTTCAAAGTTAATCCTGACACCTAAGGTGAATAAAATCCATGATTTTAATAGTAGATTATACCACGAGTCAATAATGATAGCTATTATTCCCGAGGATTATTACGAACTGAGCTGCGTTAGCGGCGAGCGAGGGAGTAACATTCCGAGGGAATAATAGCCCTTATTGCGAGTAGTATACTCTACTTTATTTACGACAAATTAATTTATGTGAGGTTTTCAATGAACAAATTTCATCCGTCTCATAATTTTCAATACAAATCCACAAGCACTACACGTTTGACACTGACACTTTTGTGGAATAATGACCATTAATCCCGCTACTCGTCATTAATCCCTGGAGGAATAACATATGTCATTATACTGCCAAAATCACAAATATAATACGCACATTATACATTAGTCGTAAATAAAATCTCAAATTCAACAGTAATTTTAGAATCTCAGATTCAAGAATCTTCGAATTACCTAATACTCAATACTGAAAACACTGATATTCTAAAGATTTAAGATTTCATCTGAGCCAAGATTTTAGAGACTCATGATTTCTCACTGAAAATTATGAAAATTCAAGTCAGGAGATTTTAAATCAGCTTGTAACTCAAGAGACTGTTGAGAAACCGATTCTGAGCTCATTTCATTCCTTCAACATTTACTTTTTTCGATATACTGTTGAGCTTCCAAAAGTTGTTAGTAGATGAATAAAGCCTAATTTGCATTGTGTTTCATTCATTACTGTTGACAAAAATAGTGATTCTCTGATAGGTACCACAATTTCAGAATTCAAAGTCTAAAGTTATTGAGTCATGAACTCACACAAAGTCTAACTTAAGTAGTTGATTTTTTGGGTTAGGCCCAGCTGGAAAATGAAAATTTTGGTAAAGTACTTCATCCCCTGACAACAGTAGAATGAAAATTTGATGAATTTATAAGCTCCTGATTTGAATAATTGAATAAAACATGAAATGAAAAAAGCTTTTAAACTTTATCTCATTTTTATAGTTTACTTCGACCAAAGATGATTTTTTTGAAGTAATTACCGTCGATAATAACTACTAAAACAAGGCTACAAAAAATAAATAAACACAGAATTCAGCAATCATTTCCGTGATCGAAATGCATTAGCCTCAAATAATTTATCAAGAAATAAATAGATCATAATTGACATATTTGTTATAAATAGGAGAACATTTGGAATATTGACAATATTATGTACCAAAAATCATGCAGAAACTATACATCGGATTATTAGTTGTTCTAACAGTTGTCGCGGTATGTTTAGGACATGGCCCAGAATGCGACCTTTCAAATTGTCGAGAGTGTCCGGAAATATGGTGTCCCCCAGACACAATACTCGGACCTAATAGAGCTTGCCAGTGCTGTCCGTCTTGTGTCATTCGTAAGTACTTTCTCTAATCGAAATTATTGTATTTGAAAAGCTGAAATTTTACAGCTATCGGAGGATGTTGTCCTTACTATGACGAGAGACCAGATTCTGGAGATGTCGATTGTATATATGACTCGGTTTGTTGCGATGGTATCTGCTTGGAAGAGTGTCCGAAATTAACAACTCAAGCAGCAACTATGACAACTGCAGCAGCAACTATACCAACTGCAACACCAACTACAACTACAGTAGCAGCAACGACAACTACAGCAGCACCAACTACAACTACAGCAGCACCAACTACAACTACAGCAGCACCAACTACAACTAAAGCAGCAACAACTCCAACTACAGCAGCAGTAACTGCAACTACAGCAGCAGCAACTGCAACTACAGCAGCAGCTATTACAACTACAACGGCACCTACAACCACAGAAGAACCTTCAAGCACACATTATCATGGATATGATGATCATGATGATTTTCATGATGATGATCATGAGCCACTTTTGGATTTGGATTTGGCTGCTTGGCTTGGCCTGTGAAAACAGATTTTTTGGAAAATGGTTATTTGGGGGTTTCGTTGATTTTTAAATAAAGTTTGTTCTGGCATATTATTTTCTATTTTGTTTTTACTTATTTACTTTGTAAATCACAGTCATTCAGAGCTTAATAAGATCTACAAATGCAAAAAAATCAATGTAATTTGCTCAACGGTTACCCAGCAATTGAGGTTTGAATATTTTGAAATCAGAATTCTTAAGAAAAACTCGATTTTTGTATTTTTTAGTTGCTCAATTTTAACTCTACCAATCGATAGAACGGGTCAAAATAAGTGGAAACAACCCTGACATCAATTCCAAATGGCCATTTTAAGCAGGAACAAGAAGAAAAAGAAAATCCTATTTTTGGCTCTAAAAATTTTCCAAATCTTGACGTGGTCATGAACAATTGGCCATCCATAGATATCATTGTTAAATTTTGAGCAAATTGCAATAAATTATATATCATTGAAAAGAGCATTGAATTCTCTATAAAGCTGTGTAAACTTGAGTTCGCAATTGACCCTCAAAGTTGCTTTATAGTCCAAATTTTGTCAAAAACTTTAAGCTCAATTTGCTCAAAAACTATAAACCTGGGAATATTGTAAATTACAGGGTTTTTAGAGTTTATTAAGAGCTACAGATGCTGAAAATTTCATTGCAACTTGCTCAACGGTTACCGAGCAATCGAGGTATGAATATTTTGAAATCAGAATTCAAAGGGGATGTCCTTAAGAAAAATTCGATTTTTTCATTTCTCAATTTTGCTCAATTTTGACTTTAATAGTCGATAGAGCGGATCAAAATTAATGGAAAACAACACTGACATCAACTCTAAATGACCATTTCAAATAAAAACAAAATCAAAAAGAAAAATCTTATTTTTGGCTCAAAAATCTTAACATTGTCATGAGCAATTGCCCATATCTTTGTTAACTTTCGAGCAAATTATAATGAATTATATATCATTGGAAAGAGCATCAAATTCTCTATAAATAAGTGCAATATTAGATTTGTTAGCTCAAATAATGTCTGAGCAAAGTTGACTTTTAGTCTAAATTTTGTTAAAAATTTCAAATTCAATTTGCTCAAAAACTATAAGCTTGAGAATATTGTAAATTACAGACCATTTAGAGCTTGATAAAAGTTACAAATGCTGAAAATTTCAATGCAATTTGCTCAACGGTTACCGAGCAATTGAGGTTAAAAGAGCGTACCCTTCCAGGAATGTTTATGGAATGTTCGCAGAATGTCCCATCAAGACAAAAATATTTCAATATATACTCCTGGACAAAATTATCGCACCACTGCTTATGGTGACGCTTATGTGCAGTGGTGCGATAATTTTGTCCAGAGGAATATTTTTGAAATAATTCGTCTATTTTAGGAACGTTTATAAAATGTTCCAAAAATGTTTCAACATGTTTTTTTTTGAAAAATTTACAATGTGTATTTTACAAATGTTTATAAAATGTTCCAAGAATGTTTAAAGAATGCTTCAACATGTTTTTTTTTGGAAATTTTTTGAAGTATATTCAGGGAATGTTCACAGAATGTTCCGGGAATGTTCGTAGAATGTTTCAGAAATGTTCATAGGAATATTTTGATATACCATGAGAATTTCGTCTAATTTTACAAGAATTTGTCAGAATTTCACTGAAGTCCTTATTATAGAATGTTCATAGAATTTGCACACCAAAATTCTCTAAAAATTCTAGAATGTTCATAGAATTTGCACACCAAAATTCCCTAAAAATTCTTCAGAATTCCACTAAAAATTCAATTAGTTTCAAAGAAATTTTCTGTATTTTCACAGGAATTTTTTGGAATTCCATGTAATTTCACAAATTACTTTTTGATAGTTCATGAGTATTTCAGGTCATTTCACGTAAATTTTTTTTGAATTCCACTGAAATTCTGAATTATTTCATAAAAATTCTTTGGAATTTTGCTGAAATTAAAAAAATTATTTCACGATTTTTTTTTTGGAATTTCATAATTATTTATACGATGTTTTAGGTAGTTTCTTGTGAATTTTTTGGAACTTCACGAGAGTTTTGATTTATTTCACAGGAATTTCTTCAAATTTTGCTAGAATTCCAAATAATTTCAGGCGAAATTCAAGTAATTTTATTTCAGTAAAATTACCTGAAAAATTTTAAAAGAATTTTTTGGAATTTCGAGTAATTTTACACGATTTTGTCGAAATTTCAAGTAGGTACATTATTTCATGAAAGTTTTATGGAACTTCTAGTTATTCCGTAGGAAGGTTTTTTTTTTTTTCAATCCCACAGGGATTCCAAGCAACTTTAAAGAAATTTTCTGAAATTTTACATTTTTTTTTTTTAATTCCACTAAAATTCCGATTTATTTCACAGGAAAATTGCTAAAGTATTGAGTAATTTCACAAGAACTTTTCGGAATTTCACCAAAATTTCATATTATTTGAGAATTTCACTAAAATTTTGAGTTATTCCACAGGAATTCCATGTAATTTCACGAGAATTATTGGGAATTTAATAAAAAATTAAAGTAACTTCACAAGAATTTTATGTGATTTACGGAAATTTTTGCCATTTTTTTTTTCCAATTTTACGAGAATTCCAAATGATACCCTAGAAATTCTTCAAAATTCCACTGAAATTACAGGTAACTTTAAGGAATTTTTTTTTTGGAATTTCACAAGGATTCCATGTAATTCTACAGAATTTTTTTTTTAAATTTTGCGAAAATTCCACGTAATTTTTAATATTTTGGAATTTCATGGGAATATTCTGGAATTTCACGAGAATAACTTAAAATTCGGTAGGCATTGAGTCAAATACTCGGAAAATTTCGTCGTAATTCTTTCGCAGTATCACATAATTTTATCGGAATCCCACGTAATTCCAATATAATTTTAAAATAATTTCACAAGAATTTTTTAAAAATTCATGAAAGTAATTTTTACAGGAATATTTTGGAATTTTCCGAGAATAACTTGGAATTCCGGGAGAATTACGTGGAATTCCGGGAGAATTACGTGGAATTTCCGGAAAATAGATGGAATTTCATTGCAATTTTTTCGAAATCCCCCATAATTTTACGGGAATTTCACTGAACCAAATAATTTCACAAGAATTATTTAAAATTTCACGAGAATTTCAAATAATTTCTACAGGAATTTTCTAGAATTACAGGATAATTAATGGTATTTCATCGGAATTCTACGTAATTCCATTAAAATCCCAAATAATTTCACAAGATTTTTAATATTCAAGTAAGTTGTTAGTAGCTTATTACTTATTAGTTATTTCAAATTTCAATAATTATTTTATTAATTGATTAATGAAAATTTGCCTGAATTTTGAAGTATAAGGTGAAATTCAGCGCAACCGTAACGACGGTGTCAAAAATTTCTTGTAATTTCATAAAAATTCTACAAAAAATCCATGTAATTTTAAGGAAATTTTCTGTAATTGCAAGAAATTTCACAAGAATTCCTTGGAAATTCACAGGAATTTTAAATATTATCATATTTTTTTTTGCAATTTCACGAGAATAATTTAAAATTTTGGAGAAATTAGTTGAAACTCCAGGAAAATAATGGAATTTTATTGGAATTTTATAATTTCACCGGAATTCCACATATTTTTGTTTGGAGTTCTACGTCATATCCCTGGAATTTTATTTAATTCCACACAAAAACTCAACGTTTTTTTTTGGAATTCTATGTCGTTTTCCAGTTTTCCATTTGATTTTACTGGAATGCTGCATAATTTTAATGGGATTTGGCATATTTTCAATGAAATTCTGCATACTTTGTATAAAATTAGGCATCATTTCCATTGTATTCAGCATAATTTCAATGGAATTCCTCAAATAGTTTCTACAGGATTTCGTTCTTATGGAATTTTGCATAATTTTTATGGAATTCTACATAATTTCTATGGGTTTTTATGTAATTTGATTGAAACTCAAAGATTCTTTTGGAATTCTATGCCATTTTTCCAGAATTCTATTGAATTTCACTGAATTTTCGCTAATTTTTATAGAATTTTGCATAATTTCTATAGAAATCTATATGTAATTTTTTCAAAATTAAATTTTCTATGGAATTCAGCATAGTCTCAATAAAATTTTGCATATTTTTTATGGAATTTCATTTGATTCCATTTAATTTTACTGAAATTTCGCATAATTTCTATAAGTTTTCGCATAATTTCTATAAGTTTTCGCATAATTTCTATGGAATTTTGCAAAATTCCTATAGAATTCCATGTAATTTTTCTAAAATTAATTGCGGTTTTTTTGGAATTCCACGTCATTACTCCTTTAATTTCACTTTAATTCCGCATACTTACATAATTTTTATATAATTTTGCTAAAATGTTAAAAATTACTCATTACAATAAGCGAAATGCATGATAATTTATCAAAAAATTAATAAATTATATTAGTTCAAAAACAAACAATAAATGACACAAAATAGGTACCCTTGAAAATAGTATAAATAATTTGTATTATATAAAGATAATACATAATTAGTTAACATAGGCAGGCACAAAAGGTAGGTAAGCAGTCCAGTAAAACCATTCATAATATGTATATCTTCAATCATTTTCAGATGCATATTATTTTCTCCTTAATTATTTTGACTGCTACATTTATGGTAAGTGGTGGACACCGAATTTTTCCACCAATACAATGCCTAATAGTTTGCCAACCAGATCTTTGTAAACCCATTCCAGCTTGTCCTTATGGTCTTAAGCTGGGAAATTCGGGAGGTTGTAACTGCTGTGAATCTTGTGTAATTCGTAAGTCTATTTGACAAAAAATAAATCAAATATTATTGAATATGATTTTAGCTGAAGGTGGCCAGTGTCCTTATTACGTCCTAGTACCAGAAGTGAGTCCGATTAAGACAATTTTTTGCGAAATTGGTACTTATTGTTGTAATGGAGAATGCATTAAGGATGGCTTTTCATGCTTATTTGATTCCAATTCGGAGTCTACAGAGGAATCTTCTACAATTACCACAGTGACAAATATCTAATGTATAATATCAACTAATCTTGTTTTATTAGTGTATATGAATATTTTGGGGTTTTATTGGTTTTTGGATAGAATAATCAGTAATTGTTATTGATATTATTGTACCCATAATGGCACTGTATTTATCAATTTCCATTTTCAATAAATTCCAAAAATGAGATTTCCTTTTGGATTTTTTGCAATTGAGCCTCAAAGTTGACTTTTAAACTAAATTTTGTCAAAAACTTCAAACAACTCAATTTGCTCAAAAACTATAAACCTGGGAATATTGTAAATTACAGGGTTTTTAGAGTTTATTGAGAGCTACGGATGCTGAAAATTTCAATGCAACTTGCTCAATGATTACCGAGCGTTTGAATATTTTGAAATCAGAATTCAAAGAGGTACCCCTAAGAAAAATTCCTTTTTTTTTTAAATTTTTCTCAATTTTAACTTTACCAATCGATAGAGCGGATCAAAATTATTGGAAAACAACCTTGACATCAACTCTAAATGACCATTTCAAGCAAAAACTAAATCAAAAAGAAAAATCCTATTTTTGGCTCAAAAATCTTGACATGGTCATGAGCAATTGCTCATATCTCTGTTAAGTTTCGAGCAAATTATAATAAATTATGCATCATTGGAAAGAGCATCAAATTCTCTATAAATACGTGCAAAATTAGATTTGATAACTCAAATAATGTCTGAGCAATTCACCGTCAAAGTTGACTTTTAATCTAAATTTTGTTAAAAATTTCAAATTCAATTTGCCCAAAAACTATAAGCTTGAGAATATTGTAAATTACAGATCATTTAGAGCTTGATAAAAGTTACAAATGCTGAAAATTTCAATGCAATTTGCTCAACGCTTACTGAGGAATTGAGGTTAAAATATTTCAAATTAGAATTCAAAGGGGGTATCCTTACAAGAGTGTTTATGGAATGTTCGTAGAATGTCCCATCAAGACAAAAATAATTCAATAGGTAAATTTTTGAATTAATTCGTCTATTGTACGAATGTTTATAAAATGTTCCAAAAATGTTTCAACATGTTTTTTTTTTTTTTGAAAAATTTGCAATGTATATTTTAGAAATGTTTATAAAATGTTCCAATGCTTTTTTTGGGAAATTTTTGAAGAATACCTAATCGGAGAATATTTATAGAATGTTCCGGGAATGTTCTTAGAATGTTTCAAAAATGTTCATAGGAATTTACTGATATTTCATGAGAATTCCGTGTAATTTTACAAGAATTTTTCAGAATTTCACTGAAATCCTTATTATAGAATGTTCATAGAGTTTGCACACCAGAATTCCCTAAAAATTCTGCGGAATTCCACTAAAAATTCAATTAGTTTTTAAAAAAATTTCTGTATTTTCACAGGAGTTTTTTGGAATTCCATGTAATTTCACAAATTACTTTTTGATAGTTCATGAGTATTTCAGGTCATTTCACGTAAATTTTTTTGGAATTCCACTGAAATTCTGGGTTATTTCATAAAAATTCTTTGGAATTTTGTTGAAATTTAATAAATAATTTCACGATTTTTTTTTTTGGAAATTCATAATTATTTATACGATTTTTTAAGTAGTTTCTTGTGAATTTTTTGGAATTTCACGAGAATTTTGATTTATTTCACAGGAATTTCTTCAAATTTTGCTAGAATTCCAAATAATTTCACGAGAAATTTAAGTAATTTTGTGTCAGTAAAATTACCTGAGAAGTATTTTTTGGAATTTCGAGTAATTTTACAGGATTTATTCGGAATTTCAATGAAATTTCAAGTATATTATTTTATGAAATTTCTAGTTATTCCGTAAAAAGGGTTTTTTTTTTCAATTCTACAGGAATTCCAAGCAACTTTAAAGAAATTTTCTGGAATTTCACATTTTTTTTTTTTTTAAATACCACTAAAATTCCCATTTACTCCACAGGAATATTGCTAAAGTATTGAGTAATTTCACAAAAACTTTTCGGAATTTTACGAGAATTTCATATTAGGCATCATTTCCATGGTATTCAGCATAATTTCAATGGAATTCCTTATATAGTTTCTAGAGGATTTCGTTCTTATGGAATTTTGCATAATTTTTATGGAATTCCACATAATTTCTATGGGTTTTTATGTAATTTAATTGAAACTCAAAGATTCTTTTGGAATTTCATGCCATTTTCTCAGAATTCCATTGAATTTCACTGAATTTTCGCTGATTTTTATAGAATTTTGCCTAATTTCCATGGAAATATATGTAATTTTTTCAAAATTAAATTTTCTATGGAATTCAGCATAATCTCAATAAAATTTTGCATATTTTTTACGGAATTCCATTTAATTTTACTGAAAATTCGTATAATTTCTATACATTTTCGTATAATTTCTATGAAATTTTGCAAAATTCCTATAGAATTCCATGTAATTTTTCTAGAATTAATTATTGTGTCTTTGGAATTCCACGTCATTACTCTTTTAATTTCGCTTGAATTCTGCATTATTTTGATGGAATTTAGTATACCTATTTGAAATTCTATGTAATTTCAATGAAATTCCGCGTAAATTTTATGGAATTCCGCATAATTTCTATGGAATTCCGCATAATTTTTATGTAATTTTGCTAAGATTTAGGATTTTTTTGTTTTCAATTTGTCGTCATTTCTCAGATATTTTATTGAAATTAAATGTAGGTAATTCCATGTCATACCTGGAAATTTTAAAAGAAATTATGGTATATTTTTGCATAATTTCTATCAAATTTCACATAATTCCAATATAATTTCGCATAATTTTTTTAACATTTCTCATAATTTAAATGGAATTCTGCCTAAATTGCCCATATCTTTGTTAAATTTCGAATAAATTGAAATAAATTATATATCATTGGAAAGAGTAATAAATTATCTATAAATTTATGTAAAATTGAGATCGATAGCTCAAATAGTTTTTGAGCAATTGAGTCTCAAAGTTGACTATTAGTCTAAATTTAGTCAGAAACTTCAAACTCAATTTGCTCAAAAACTATAAATCTGTGCATATTGTAAATTACAGGCCATTTAGAGCTCAATAAGAGCTACAAATGCTGAAAATTTTAATGCAATTTGCTCAACGGTTACCGAGCAATCGAGGTTTAAAGATTTTGAAATCAGAATTCAATATTTTTGGACGAGAATGTAGAGTGATCTGAAAGACGCGTCACGTTTTGGCAAATTTCGTTACATGAGAGAGAAAAAGAAAAATAACGGAGAGAGACAACCAATGACAATGACAGCCGACGAACGATTGACGCACAAACCAAGGATTATAAACTAGAGAGTTTCCCGAATTTCTAATGAGTTCAATAACCTGGACTTGTGAAGTCTTTAAAACAGAGCTTAACTCCCTAAACAAAGTTCCAAATAAATAAATGAATAAATATCAAAAATAAAGATACATTTTTATGTCCTAATCAATAATCACTCAATTAGACTTTAAATTTACCATAACAAGCTTACAAAAACATAAATGCTTAAATGTTAAAAATTACTCATTACATTAAGCGAAATGCATGATAATTTATCAAAAAATTAATAAATTATAATAGTTCAAAAACAAACAATAAATGACGCATTGAAAATAGTATAAATAATAATTACTATAAAGATAAAAATTAATAGTTAATATAGGTTACTACAGGCAAGCACAAAAGGTAGGTAAGTAATCCAATAAAACCTTTTATATATCTTCAATCATTTCAGATGCATATTATTTTCTCCTTAATTATTCTGACTGCTACATTAATGGTAACTAGTGAACACCTACGTATACCACCAGTAGAATGCCTAATAGCTTGCCCACCAAATCTTTGTAAACCTATTCCAGCTTGTCCTTATGGTCTTGAGCTAGGAAAAAAGGGAGCTTGTGACTGCTGTGAATCTTGCATTATTCGTAAGTAAATTTGACACAAAAGAAATCAAACAATACTGAATATTATTTTAGCTGAAGGTGGCCGCTGTCCTTATTACGTCCTAGTACCAGAAGTAAGTCCGATTGAGACAGTTGTTTGCGAAATTGGTACTTTTTGTTGTAATGGAAGGTGCATTAAGGAAGGCTTAGCATGCATACTTGATTCAGAGACTACAGAGGAATCTTCTACAGCTACCACAGTGACAAATACCTAATGTATAATATAAACTAATCTTGTTTTATTGGTGTATATTAATATTTTGGGGTTTTATTGGTTTTTGGATAGAATAATCAGTAATTATTATTTATATTATTTTACCCATATAATTGCACTGTACCTATTCATCAATTTTCAATAAATTCCAAAAATGAGATTTCCTTTTGGATTTTTTTCCTCGTTAAAAAATCATCAAATGTAACTGATGTTTCTCTCTATGCTCTATCGATTTGAAAAGTCAAAATTGAGAAAAACTCAAAAATAGAAATTTTCAGTTTTAGCATTTTTTTCCCCCTTTGGATTTTTATTTTCAAACCTTCAAACCGCAATATAGCAGTAACCAAAAGCGGTACTGGGACAACATTTTCAGGGATTGTAGTTTTTGATAAGGACTTCAAAATGGTTTTAGCTGAAATCGCTAGCAATCAGTGTTGCCAATGACCCGATAATTATCGAATTCTACCATAATTTTAACTACGATTCAATAATCGGCAATGACAAGCTAATCTACCATAATTTATTGAAACTACAATTTTAATATACATTTTTCAAATTTGAAAAATTGAAGGTGGTTGTTGGTTTTGAATGTTTGGACGTACTGGTGCGAGCACCAAACACTAGTCCCAGATTGAGCCTAAGTTTCATGCCAATAACTTTACTGGTTATTTAAAAATCAAATTCCCATGCATACCCCTTTGGAAAAATTCGAATTTTTAAATTTTTGGATTTTGCAATGTTTTGACTTTACCAATCAAAAGAGGAGATCAAAATTAGTGAAAAACCATTTTTACAAGTTTGTTTTTAGAGTTTTAAAGCCTTGTAAAAAAATAAAAACGATTTTTGTAATTTTTTGGCTCAAAAAAATTTCAATAATCTGACATTCTTTCACAAAAATGCTGATTACTCGGTTATTATTGTAACAAATATAATGTAAAATTATATATTCTGAATCAGAATTATATTAAGTTCAAGATAAAATAATATTCAATTCTATATCTTAAATACTTGTGAAGATATTCAGGCTCAAAGTTGAAACTTTACCTCAAATTTTGCAAAAGCTTCCAGGCGGATTATCTTGGAAACGAAGCCCTTGGGCTTGGAGTCTTGAATAACCTTTTTTGTAGCCCTTATTAAGAGCTACAATTGGGCAAAAGATTCATGCCAATAACTTCACTGGTTTCCGAAATATGGCTCTTTGAAAGATTTGGAATTCAAATTTTCATGCATACCCCTTTGGAAAAATTCGAATTTTTAAATTTTATGGATTTTGCAATTTTTGACTTCACCAATCGAAAGAAGAGGTTAAAATTAGTAGGAAAGCATTTTCGGAACTTTCCTTTTTGGGTTTTAAAGCCTTGTTAAAAAATAAAAACGATTTTTGTAATTTTTGGGCTCAAAGAAATTTCAATAATCTGACATTCATAACAAAATTGCTGATTACTCGGTTATTATTGTAACAAATATAATGTAAAATTATATATTCTGAATCAGAATTAAATTATCTTCAAGATAAAATAAGATTCAATTCTATATCTTAAATACTTCTGAAGATATTGAGGCTCAAAGTTGAAACTTTACCTCAAATTTTGCAAAAGCTTCCAGGCGGATTATCTTGAAAACGAAGCCCTTGGGCTTGGAGTCTTGAATAACCTTTTTTGTAGCCCTTATTAAGAGCTACAATTGGGCAAAAGATTCATGCCAATAACTTCACTGGTTTCCGAAATATGGCTCTTTGAAAGATTTGGAATTCAAATTTTCATGCATACCCCTTTGGAAAAATTCGAATTTTTAAATTTTATGGATTTTGCAATTTTTGACTTCACCAATCGAAAGAAGAGGTTAAAATTAGTAGGAAAGCATTTTCGGAACTTTCTTTTTTGGGTTTTAAAGCCTTGTTAAAAAATAAAAACGATTTTTGTAATTTTTGGGCTCAAAGAAATTTCAATAATCTGACATTCTTTCACAAAAATGCTGATTACTCGGGTATTATTGAAACAAATATAATGTAAAATTATATATTCTGAATCAGAATTAAATTATCTTCAAGATAAAATAAGATTCAATTCTATATCTTAAATACTTCTGAAGATATTGAGGCTCAAAGTTGAAACTTTACCTCAAATTTTGCAAAAGCTTCCAGGCGGATTATCTTGAAAACGAAGCCCTTGGGCTTGGAGTCTTGAATAACCTTTTTTGTAGCCCTTATTAAGAGCTACAATTGGGCAAAAGATTCATGCCAATATCTTCACTGGTTTCCGAAATATGGCTCTTTGAAAGATTTGGAATTCAAATTTTCATGCATACCCCTTTGGAAAAATTCGAATTTTTAAATTTTATGGATTTTGCAATTTTTGACTTCACCAATCGAAAGAAGAGGTTAAAATTAGTAGGAAAGCATTTTCGGAACTTTCTTTTTTGGGTTTTAAAGCCTTGTTAAAAAATAAAAACGATTTTTGTAATTTTTGGGCTCAAAGAAATTTCAATAATCTGACATTCTTTCACAAAAATGCTGATTACTCGGGTATTATTGAAACAAATATAATGTAAAATTATATATTCTGAATCAGAATTAAATTATCTTCAAGATAAAATAAGATTCAATTCTATATCTTAAATACTTCTGAAGATATTGAGGCTCAAAGTTGAAACTTTACCTCAAATTTTGCAAAAGCTTCCAGGCGGATTATCTTGAAAACGAAGCCCTTGGGCTTGGAGTCTTGAATAACCTTTTTTGTAGCCCTTATTAAGAGCTACAATTGGGCAAAAGATTCATGCCAATATCTTCACTGGTTTCCGAAATATGGCTCTTTGAAAGATTTGGAATTCAAATTTTCATGCATACCCCTTTGGAAAAATTCGAATTTTTAAATTTTATGGATTTTGCAATTTTTGACTTCACCAATCGAAAGAAGAGGTTAAAATTAGTAGGAAAGCATTTTCGGAACTTTCTTTTTTGGGTTTTAAAGCCTTGTTAAAAAATAAAAACGATTTTTGTAATTTTTGGGCTCAAAGAAATTTCAATAATCTGACATTCTTTCACAAAAATGCTGATTACTCGGGTATTATTGAAACAAATATAATGTAAAATTATATATTCTGAATCAGAATTAAATTATCTTCAAGATAAAATAAGATTCAATTCTATATCTTAAATACTTCTGAAGATATTGAGGCTCAAAGTTGAAACTTTACCTCAAATTTTGCAAAAGCTTCCAGGCGGATTATCTTGAAAACGAAGCCCTTGGGCTTGGAGTCTTGAATAACCTTTTTTGTAGCCCTTATTAAGAGCTACAATTGGGCAAAAGATTCATGCCAATAACTTCACTGGTTTCCGAAATATGGCTCTTTGAAAGATTTGGAATTCAAATTTTCATGCAATACCCCTTTGGAAAAAGTCGAATTTTTAAATTTTATGGATTTTGCAATTTTTGACTTCACCAATCGAAAGAAGAGGTTAAAATTAGTAGGAAAGCATTTTCGGAACTTTCCTTTTTGGGTTTTAAAGCCTTGTTAAAAAATAAAAACGATTTTTGTTATTTTTGGGCTCAAAAAATTTCAATAATCTGACATTCTTTCACAAAATTTCTGATTACTTGGTTATTATTGTAACAAATATGATGTAAAATTATATATTCTGAATCAGAATTAAATAATCTTCAAGATAAAATAAGATTCAATTCTATATCTTAAATACTTTTGAAGATATTGAGGCTCAAAGTTAAAACTTTGTCTCAAATTTTGCAAAAGCTTCCAGGCGGATTATCTTGAAAACGAAGCCCTTGGGCTTGGAGTCTTGAATAACCTTTTTTGTAGCCCTTATCAAGAGCTACAAATGGGCAAAATATTTATGCAAATAACTTTACTGGTTTTCAAAATATGGCTCTTTGAAAGATTTGAAAATCAAATTTCCGTGCATACCCCTTTAGAAAAGTTCGAATTTTTAAATTTCAGTTTTTTGAACTTTTTACTTCACCAATCGAAAGAAGAGGTTAAAATTAGAAGAAAAGCATTTTCGCAACTTTCCTTTTTGGGTTTTAAAGCCTTGTTAAAAAATAAGAACGATTTTTGCAATTTTTGGGCTCAAAAAAATTTCAACAATCTGACATTCTTTCACAAAATTTCTGATTACTTGGTTATTATTGCAACAAATAAGATCTAAGATTATATATTCTGAATCAGAATTAAATTATCTTCAAGATAAAATAAGATTCAATTCTATATCTTAAATAGTTGTGAAGATATTGAGGCTCAAAGTTGAAACTTTACCTCAAATTTTGTAAAAGCTTCCAGGCGGATTATCTTGAAAACGAAGCCCTTGGGCTCGGAGTCTTAAATAACCTTTTTTGTAGCCTTTATTAATAGATAGAAATGGGCAAAATATGTATGCCAATAAATTTACTGGTTTCCACAATATGGCTCTTTGAAAGATTTGAAAATCAAATTTCCATGCATACCCCTTCAGAAAAGTTCGAATTTTTAAATTTCAGTTTTTAGAATTTTTGATTTCACCAATCGAAAGAAGAGGTTAAAATTAGTAGGAAAGCATTTTCGCAATTTTCCTTTTTGGGTTTTAAAGCCTTGTTAAAAAATAAAAATGATTTTTGTAATTTTTTGGCTCAAAAAAATTTCATTAATCTGACATTCTTTCACAAAAATGCTGATTACTCGGTTATTATTGTAAGAAATACAATGTAAAATTATATATTCTGAATCAGAATTAAATTATGTTCAAGATAAAATAATATTCAATTCTATATCTTAAATACTTGTGAAGATATTAAGGCTCAAAGTTGAAACTTTACCTCAAATTTTGTAAAAACTTCCAGGCGGATTATCTTGAAAACGAAGTCCTTGGGCTCGGAGTCTTAAATAACCCTTTTTGTAGCCCTTATTAAGAGTTACAATTGGGCAAAAGATTCATGCCAATAGCTTCACTGGTTTCCAAAATACAAGCATTTGAATTATTTGAAAATCCAATTTCCATACATACCCCTTTGGAAAAGTTCAAATTTTTAAATTTTTGAATTTTTGAATTTTGCAATTTTGGACTTTACTAATCAAAAGAGAAGGTGAAAATTAGTGGAAAAGCATTTACGCAACTTTGTTTTTAGGGTTTTAAGGCTTTTAAAAAAATAAAAACGATATTTGCAATTTTTGGGCTCAAAAAATTTCAATAATCTGATATTCTTTTACAAAATTGCTGATTATTCGGTTATCATTATAACAAATATGATGTAAAATTATATATTCTGAATCAGAATTAAATAATCTTCAAGATAAAATAAGATTCAATTCTATATCTTAAATACTTTTGAAGATATTGAGGCTCAAAGTTAAAACTTTGTCTCAAATTTTGCAAAAGCTTCAAAGCCGATTATCTTGAAAACGAAGCCCTTGGGCTCGAAATCTTGCATAACCTTTTTTGAAGCTCTAATTGAAAGCTACAATTGCCAGAGTCCCAGCTAGAATCCGAAAAATGAAAATAGAGATAAAAAGTCAAAAAAGTTGACAGAAACTTTTTCTGATAATTTTTCTTGGAATCTGATAATTTTGTTCTCAAATCCTGATAATTTTAAATTTGACATCTGAAAACACTGCTAGCGATTTCAGTTTTTGAGCAAATCGAGCTTCAAGTTTTAGATAAAATGTCGAGTAAATTTCAACTTTGAAGCTTAATATCTTGAAAATTCCAAAAGATACAAAAACCAATTTTACATGATTTTATAGAGAATTCAATGCTCTTTCCAATTATCTATAATTATAGGCAATTTGCTTAAATATAATCGAAAGCATGAGCAGTTATTCATGAGCGTGTCAAGATTTCAAAAATTGCTACGACGAGATAGGACGCTTCAAAGTTTTCAGAAATTTATTTTTAAAAATACCTTTTAAAGTACCTATTACGTATATAACTTGATGTACTTACATTAAGTAAAATTAGTTTTCACTGATAAAATAACCAATAAATACAAAACATGTTGTAAATAGAAAGTACCTTTCAAGTACCTATAAAAATAAAGCAGAATTATTACAGTTAGCCAACGTGAGCTAAAACCCTTATTTTGCATTCAATTACGCTTGATTCTCAATATGCACGTTTTACTTCTTTTAACCACTGGTTTAGTGGCAATTTGCTCAGGACAAAAACATACAATACCACCATCATCACCGATACTTTGTTTTTGTCCAGAATATTGTCCCATCATTACCATATGCCCTTACGGCCTAGAACTAGGATATTCTGGCCCTTGTCGGTGTTGTCAAGATTGCGTCATTCGTAAGTATAATTTTTGTGTTAATTAAAGATATTCAATAGGTATTTTCTTTTTTAGCTAAAAACGGACAATGTCCTTATTATGTCTTACTACCCTCTTCTACTCCAATCGATTCAGTTTCTTGCGAAGATGGCACCAAATGTTGTAATGCAATTTGTACTAATGATGTTTGTGAAACTGATTCAACAACAGAAAAAAACTAATTGTTTGTGTATAAAATTTAATAATAATTATATGATTATTTATTACTAGTCAAGACAATCTCTTTTACAATTCTTATCACATTTCTGATTCTTGCAACATTGTAAATCTGGTCCGCAAGTCACAGTCCCATTGTCATCCTTATAACAATCGTCGCCAATTTCTAAATCAAAATTGTTTATAAACATTTAACAAAATTAAATATTTAATACATACTGGGTGTAACGCATTCGAAACAACATCCACAATATCCCCTGCCTGAAGCCAAAATGGTACCACAAGGACAAGGAGTAACATTCAAGCATAACGTAGCAGCACAAGTCCAAGGTTTACATTCGGTTTCAGCATTATTAATTTTTACTATTATTGTTACTAACAATAAAATAATTTGCAATTTACTCATGTTGCTTTTGACAATATACTGATTAAATTTTGATTCTCGTGCTGTATTTATAATTAGCTTGCTTATTCAAAACCATTGACGCAGTGTCAGGAATTTCCATTTTTATTGTATTGATGTCAGAGCCCTGTGCTTTGCGATAAATATTTGTTTTTATTTAAAATCGCACCACTTGGGTTATCAGAGTAAGTAATTATGCCCCATATAGGTAAATAGAGTTTTTCATATTGAATTATTTATTAAATGTAACTATATCTACCAAATTTTCCTGTAATAATAATTATTATAAACCTTTTTAGTTTAATGTTATTATCTATATGCACATATGCGCATCTAAAAATTACTATATAAACAATAAACTTCAAGTTTCATTAAAATGTCTCCAACAATAAGAGTAATAATTGTTTTTGTAGTTCTCTTTGCAAAGTACTTGCAAGTTGAACTAATTGCATGTCCGCCTGGTTTTTGCAAGGAACACCCTTGCAAAAGCCCTACTTCCTGCCCCCCAGGGCAAGTCATGAGATTTTCGTTTTGCGGATGCTGCCTTAAATGTGTTCCAGAAATTCGTAAGTATTCAAAACATCAAAATAACTTCTATTATTATTGTTTATATTATACTATATGTAAAATTTTTTGAACTAGGAAATCAGCAAAACTATCGGTGTGAATTGTAGATCTTGATTGTAACTTCAAAAATGTTTATTTGGGGCACCAAGCCTTAAGGCTTCGTTTTCGAGATAATCGGCTTTGAAGGTTTTTCGAAATTTGGGACAAAGTTTCAACTTTGATGCTTAGCATTTAGAAAACCGTTTGAGATAAATAATTCAAATTTATTCTATCTTAAAGATAATTTAATTCTGATTAAGAATATATAAATATGTATTAGAATTTGTGAAATAGTTATGGGAGATTTTGTGAGGCAATGTCGGATGATCAGAATTTTTCATGCAAACATCATTTTGTAATTTTTTACAAGCCCTAAAATCTCGAAAAAAAAAATCACGTAGATACTTTTTTACTAAATTTGATCCCCGCTTTCGATTGGTAAAGTCAAAAATTTGAAAAAACTATAAAAATCTAAATTGAACTTTTTCTAAGGGGTATGCAAGGAAATATCATTTTCAAATATTTCAAAGGGCCATATTTTGAAAACAAGAGAATTTATCGGTACAAAATTTCATCCAATTGTAGATCCCGATCGGGGCTTCAAAAAAGGTTATTTGGGGTACCGAGCCTGAGGTCTTCGTTTTCTAGATAACCGGCTTTGAATGTTTTCCAAAATTTGAAATAAAGTTTTAACTTTGAGGCTCAATATTTCGGAAACTATTTGAGATAAATGATTCAATTTAGTTTCATCTTAAAGAGCATTTAATTCTGATTTAGAATATGTAGACATATATTAGATTTTGTGAAATATTAGTTGAATAATGAGTGAGCAATTTTGTCAGGCAATGTCGGATGATCAAAAGTTATCAGGGCAAAAAATGCAAAAATCATTTTGAATTTTTTACAGGCTCTAAAACCTCGAGAAGAAAAATCACGAAAATACTTTTCCACTAAATTTTACCCCATCTTTTGATTGGTAAAGTCAAAAATCGAAAACTTTTGAAAAATCAAAATTGATATTTTTCTAAGGGGTATGCAAGGAAATTTCATTTTCAAATATTTCAAAGGGCCATATTTTGGAAACCACAAAAGCTATCGATATGAAATTTCGTCCAATTATAGATCTCGATTGGGGCTTCAAAAAAGGTTATTTGGGGCACCGAGCCTCAGGGCTTCGTTTTCGAGATAACCGGCTTTGAAGGTTTTCCAAAATTTGAGATAAAGTTTCAACTTTGAGGCTCAATATCTCGGAAACTATTGAAATGAAACGAAGAACGGCGCCAGTATTAACTTCGTGACTGTTTTTTTAATATAAAAATTTACAATTATAACAAAATTAAAATTATTGTCAAACCATGACAACATAACAACTGAATAATCTTCAAAAACAGAAAAGCCCACTACTTTTCTTTTATGATGACCACCAAATTTACCAACTGTCGTTATCAAATTGTTGTCACATTTTGTCATAAATATAACCTTAACATAAATAATCAATAATAAAATAATTCTATTGTAGTTTTTGACATGCCCCCTCAATAATAGTAGATTATACCACGAGTCAATAATGATAGCTATTATTCCCGAGGATAATTACGAACTGAGCCGCGTTAGCGGCGAGGGAGTAACATTCCGAGGGAATAATAGCCATTATTGCGAGTAGTATACTCTACTTCATTTACGACAAATTAATTTATTTGAGATTTTCAATGAACAAATTTCATCCGTCTCATATTTTTCAATAGAAATCCACAAGCACTACACGTTTGACACTGACACTTTTGTGGAATAATGACCATTAATCCCGCTACTCGTCATTAATCCCTGGAGGAATAACATATGTCATTATACTGCCAAAATCACAAATATAATACGCACATTATACATTAGTCGTAAATAAAATTATTTTATGTCCGATTGACCAATAAAGTGCTATTTATAGAACAGTTTTGCGTCAATAAAGTAGCACTTTATTGTACTAGTAAAATAAAGTACTACTTTATTTTACTAGTAAAATAAAGTGCTACTTTATTGCCTACCTAGACTACCTTACAAGGTAAAACAGGTCCTGACAACCTGCTAAGGTGATACAGGTCTTGACAACCTGCCAAGGTGAAACAGGTATACCTACGCGAATTTTACTTTTTTCATTAAATTTTTTTAATTTTTAACAAAAATCAGTCGCAATCGTACATAAAATCATGTATATAACGCTTACATAAACAGGCTTTATTGACTCATTATTTAATAGCCTCGCTCGCAAGCTCGCTCGGCCATGAAATTATTCGTACAATAAAGCCTTACTTTATGTACTTGTTATATAAATAGCTATTATTCATAATATGAAAAATAAAACGAAGTGATTAAAATTTAAGAAAAAATCTGGTTTAACAAAACAAACCCAAATCTTTTCTAAATTTTTCAAATTTAACTCTGGCCAATGGCTTAGTAAACATATCTGCCAATTGGTCTTCACTTTTAATGTGAATAATGTTTATTATGCCAGTGTCCAACTTTTCTTTAACATAATGGAATTTTATGTCAATATATCTCAATCTTTTATTATTTTCCGGATTATTTGCAATCTTGATAGCAGATTGATTATCTTCATGAATGATAATTGGCATTTCCAGACTGAAAATCATTAATTAATTTTTTCAACCAGCAAGCTTCGCTAACTGCTAATGTTAAAGCTGTGTACTCGATTTCGATGGAAGAAATTGAAACACATTGCTGTTTTGTACTGTTCCACGATATACAGCAATTCAATAATTTAATAACATATCCAGTTGTTGATTTTCCATCGGTAACATCTCCTCCCCAATCGGAATCGACATAACCACTTATAATTTTATCATCAACATCTGGTTTAAACAATAATTTAACATCAATAGAACCCTTAACATATCTAAGGACTTTTTTCAATGCCTTCAACAAATTATTGTTAGCCTTATCCTGATATCTACTAAGTAGATTGACACTTTCGCAAAGATCGGGTCTGGAACCTTGAACTGCATAGATAAGACTACCAATAATCTGTCTGCACAGTTTCTGCAACTCAGCATCATTATTTTCATTTCTAAAATCAAAAACAGTATTCATATCTAATGGTGTGTGCATAGGGTTACAGTCCTGCATTCCAAATCTTTGTAAAAGTTTTTTTAAATAATTTGACATAATTCAGCACAACCTTCTTTTAAATTTTGTTTAACATCAATTCCTAAATATTGAGAAATGATTCCAAGATCTTTCATATCAAAATTATTGCAAAATATATGTTTCAATTTTTCTACTTCAGGTAAATCAATCCCCAAAATTAGTAAATCATCCACATAAATTAAAACATATAATTTACTGTTTTCAGAACATTTGAAATATAAGCAGTGATCATTTTCGGACCTAAGAAAATCCTCGTTTTTCATGAGTGAATCAAATTTAGTGTTCCAAAACTTAGGACTTTTCTTAAGACCGTAAAAAGATTTATTCAACTTACAAACAGTACTGCTATTATTTCTATTATTGCCAGGTAGACTTATATAAATTTCCTCATTTATTTCCCCATGTAGGAAAGCACTCTTGACGTCCATTTGAAAAATAGGCTTACCCAACTTGCATGCAATCACAATAAAAACTCTGAAAGTTGTAAGTTTGGCAACAGGAGCGTAAATATCATACAAATCTTCACAGTCCTGCTGAAAACCACGAGCAACAAGTCTTGCCTTATATTCATTATCACTTTTTATTTTAAAAACCCACTTACTGTCAATCACCTTTTTGTCCACTGGCCAAGGTACTTCACTCCAAGTCTCATTTTTTTTAGCACATTAAGTTCTTTTTTGATAGCTTCTTTCCAATTATCACTATTTTTCCCTGAAACAGCTTCCTCAAAAGTAACTGGTTCTTCATTTTCTGAATAAAAACACATATCTGCTGAATCTCCGAACACATCAAAGTCTTTTAACCATGTTGGTCTCTTGATACTTCTTTTTCCATGTCTTCTAGTTATATTTCGAGTTACATTTTCCTGTTCTGGCATCACTTCAGGTGTTTAAGTCTCGTATTCCGGTTCGTTTAAGTTTTCTTCGGTTTCTGTATCATCATTTTCCAGGAAAATATTATCTTCTTCATCATGATTTATTGTAGGCTCTTCTTCATTGTCTTGACTTTCTTCTTTATTTTCATTGTTATTTTCAAAATTTAGAGAAATAGTGGTTTTGCTGTCTTTCCAATTTTGTTCTATTCTCATCTGCATTATCATTTTTAGGTATAAAAATTACATCCCTGTGAATTTTAACTTTTTCTTTCAGTGGCAAAAATACCCTAAAGCCTTTTACTTCTTCAGAGTATCCCACAAAAATACCAATTTCATTTTTAGCATCCAATTTCAAACGTTTAGCTTTGGGAACATGTACACTCACTTTTACGTCAAATTCTTGAAAAATATCCATATTGCATTTCTTTCCATGCCACACTTCAAAAGGTGTTTTGTCATTTTGAGGACTCTTTGCAGCTCTATTCAATGTATATACTACAGTATTTGCAGCTTCCGCCCAAAAACGTTTTCCTAAACATGAGCTATGCAAAAGAGTTCTCACAGATTCCACTATTGTTCTATTATCTCTTTCTATACGCCCATTTTGCTCTGGTGTATAAGCACATGTTCTTTGATGACAAATTCCTCTTTCTTCACATATCTTTGTTATTTTTTTATTAATAAATTCCAATCCATTATCTGTCCTGAACGTCTTGATTTTATTTCCAGTTATATTTTCGGGGATAATACCACGAGAGCTTCAAAATTACCGATAATTTTTCACGATTGCGTGTTTCGAGTGAAATTTGCAAAGAAAACACGCATGACTGAAAAATTATCTGGTCCATTTTAAAGCTCGAGTGGTATTTAGAGGATTATTTCACGATTTAAAATGCAAAAAATAAGGATGCTAACAGGATCCATTTGTTTATATTGGTACAAATAAATGGCTGGTAACAGCAACTGTTTGTTTGTATCAAAAATTAGTGACAACCATGTATACAATAACATGGGAGAATTATCGCTGTAATTCTCTCTAGTTAAACTAATGGAAAAAAGAATTTTCGCTGTAATTTTGAAAATCATCACTTGTCTTATGGGATTTCTAACACATGAGTGGAATAATCAGTATTATTAATAAAAATTTTGAATTTACTTTCTACTTCTGATTTATTTTTTAGGAAATAAATATGCCTATAACCTGAATGATCGTCTTTTAATAATAAAAAATATTTTGCTCCGCCAAGAGACGATACTTCAAATGGTCCGCAAAGATCACCATGAATTAAATCACAAGTCCCTTCTGCTCTCGATTTGCTAATTGGAAATGAAAGTCTATGCTGCTTCCCAGCTAGACATTGGACACAAAATGTGTTTCTTTTGATGAATATTGTTTCTTTTCAAGACTTTTTCAACCTGATCAAAATTGATAGGACATAATTTTTGATGCCAATCTTCCAAACTTAGCACAACATTGCATTGCATAGGCTGATTATTAATACTTGAAAATTTCATTTTATATAACTTTCCTTGTCTTTCAGCTATTGCTCGCACTTTGCCATTTTTGTCCAATAATTCATATTTCTCTTTATCAGAATGCATTTCCAAATTTTTCTCTAAAGCAGTACTCAATGAAAATAAATTTATGGCTAAATCGGGTACATAAAGCACATTATTCAAATCGGTTCTTACCCATTTATCTCCATTCCATGCTTCAACTAGCACTGTACCTTTTCCTTTTACAGAAACCAATGTGCCATTTCCTACGCGAACTTGTCTTTCTATAGGCTCTTTATTTATTTCTAGAAACTGGTTTTCGTCAAAACACATATGCTCAGTAGCACCACTGTCCAACCACCAATAATTGGAATTATCATTGTTCTGGCCTAACATTGCCATAACATCATGACCATTCAAGATTGCACCTGATTTTGATTCACCAACTAATGCTTGATCACCTCTTCTATCATTTTTCTTTTCATTAAAATCTTTCTCTTCCTAAACCAACAATCTTGAATTACATGTCCAGTTTTCTTACAGTAATTGCACTGTTTTTTAACTGATTGAGGACAATTTTTAATCATATGGCCTGTTCTATTGCATCTGTAACATTTTACATCACTCTTCGAATGAAATCTCTTTTTAACTGAAAAAGCCATTGTTTCTTGTGAAACTTTATTCCTATCTTCTTTTATCATTAGCCTCGACATTAAGTCTGCCAATGTTTGATTATCTGAAGGGGTGGATTCCCATGCAGAAACAAAATGTTTCATATTTTCTGGAAGAGACATTAATACTTTCGTAATTAACATTTTGTCACTTACTTCTTCGCCCATGCCCTTCAAATTTGCTTTAATTTCCTCTAATTTCGACACAAACTCAGCTGCACATCCTTCATATTCCAACGAGAATAACTTCTGAGTTAACAAATGTACACTTACTTGCGACTGATGTTCATAAATTCTTTTTAACTTCATCCACATTTCAGCAGACGTTTTGCATGTCAAAATGTGTGTCAAAATTTTTTTTCCCAACCTCAGAACAATTATTTCTTGAGCTTTTACGTCTATTTTATCCCAAGCAGCTACATCGCCTTCAGTTGGTCTCGGCTTTGATCCTGCAACAACCTCAAAAAAACCTTTAATATTATTTCTACCTGAAATTTCCATAAGGTCCAATTTTCTCCATTCAATTTTGTAATAGTATTTACTCCAACCTGGTCCGTCATTTTGTCTTCGTCTTAACACGAAGTTTTCTCTTCCTTAGAAAAACTTGCCGGGTTTTCACGCCCGTCTTAATCCGCAGACTCTAACTGACTATAGTAGTATAGTTAGTACTACTTCTTTACGAGTCTGGGCCCGTAACCTATTGAAATGAAACGAAGAACGGCGCCAGTATTAACTTCGTGACTGTTTTTTTAATATAAAAATTTACAATTATAACAAAATTAAAATTATTGTCAAACCATGACAACATAACAACTGAATAATCTTCACAAACAGAAAAGCCCACTACTTTTCTTTTATAATGACCACCAAATTTACCAACTGTCGTTATCATAAATATAACCTTAACATAAATAATCAATAATAAAATAATTCTATTGTAGTTTTTGACAGAAACCATTTGAGATAAATGATTCAATCTAGTTTTATCTTAAAAAGCATTTTATTCTGAATCAGAATATACAGATACTTATGTATTTAGAATTTGTAAAATCAGCTCTGATGCAGTTTGAAAGTTAATGCGAGTGGAAAATTTCATTTTTCTCCAAACGTCAAAAAAACGTCACTTTGTTAACCCCTGTCAAGATGTCAGAAATTTGATTTCTATGCTGCTAGGCAAATCCAGCGGGTTGACACCTGTCGAGGTGGTAGAAATTTAATTTCTATGCTGCTAGGCAACCGCAGCGGCAGTAGAAGTACTTTTAGTGCCGCTGAAGCGGCAATACAACACTCGATCCAGAACAATTCAGAGTTCGATCCATAACTGGTAACGTACTTGAACAGCTCTTCACAAAAGCTTAACATATTTCTTTAAAAATAGAGAATCAAGAAAACTCAATCTAGAAGTGAACCGACTGACTATCTTTGGTTTTATTTTTATTTTTCCTGTAATAAGTGTTTTATGTTTGTTGGAAAATAAGCTGGTAAAGTTAAAACTGAATTATTTTCTTTTTTTTTTTTAGCTGCTGACGGTCCTTGTCTGGCATTAAGAGGCCTTCCACCGCCTGCATGCGTACCTGGAACATTCTGCTGCAATGGCAAATGCCTATCTAATTGTGGATAATATTAATAAAGGAAAGCTTTAAACTATGTAAAACTTGAAAAGCATAATAATAATATACCTACTGAGGATTATGGAAAAAAAAATATTTCAAAAAAAAAAAACTGATTGTTTCAATTGCATTTGTACCCTCTATTTATTATTTATTTCGATGTAGTTAAAAATAGTTTCTTTTTTACAATTATAGAGAATAGAAGAGAACTCCAAGACTTAGGACAAGAAACTTTGAAAACCAGAACTCTTAAACTCATCTATTCGGACATCAATGTAATTTTGCTTCTAGAGTAGGTACTTGGGCAAACAATTACACAAGCAAGGCTTTGTAGTACTAGATGCAAAATACCTACTGGCAAATGATATAAGCTTCGTAAAATGGGAACAGTTTGTGGTAAAATAATCGAATGTTTTTTGATCAATCCTATTTAAACTCTACCAGTTACAATGTCCAAGATACCTGATATGGTTAAGAAGTTCCTGGAGAATCGACAAAATGTGGTAAAAATAAACAGAGGATTTTCTATTGAGCAGGGAACACCACAGGGATCATCACTGTCGCCATTGCTCTATAATATTTATTGTGACGACATCTTCCCTCCAACAAACCAGGTTACAGTTGTAAGTCCATATATTATACAATTTGCAGACGATACCGCTATTATATCACACCACAAGAATATTATATCCCAAGCTGTTCAATCTCTACAAATAGTACTTAACAGAGTGATTGTCTGGTTAGATAGGTGGAAACTAAAAGTAAATCCTGAAAAATCGCAATTTATAATATTTCATCACAAGATCAGCGAAGCTCCACCAAAACTAGATATTCTCAACCACCAAATATTTCCTCAATCTCACATCAAATACTTGGGTATTCATTTCGACAATAAATTAAATTTCAAATAACACCTGTCAACAATGAAAAAAAAAAAAGGCAATAACAAGAAGCAAGCATTTTAGAAACCTTACATACAAGGACGGGGGTATTAACATTAAAACTGCATGTCACATCTACACAACAATATGCAGACCAATTTTGGAATACGGACAAATAATTTTCAGTGCTTGCAGAGGATCTGCCATCCAGATAATAGAAACTGCAGAAAGAACTAGTCTCCGTAAAATTACAAAAACCAGACATCCTACAAACCCGCTTCAGAATCGATCAAATGAAATGTATCAAAAAACTGGAATTGAATCAATTATTCAAAGTCTTACCGAAAAGTTTGGCAGCAGACCATCCAACATAGCGATAATCAGTCTATTCATTTTGGAAATTCCACAAGGCCTTATCAGGAAAAGACAATATCCAGAAGAAACTGTTTTCCAAATTATACAAAATAATGTAACTGTAAAAAGCTAACATAGAAAAGAACTCTCGGAACAATTTTCCAAATTACTTTTTGAAACTCTGCGATTAGAGATTTGTTGAAGGCAGCTCCGGATTCCATTAAAAATCATTCTCAAAGAGGTATTTTACCCCTTATTCCATTATTTGATGGTTTATCTGCTCTAGGAGCACTAGGTAGGGGTGCTGCTGGTATAGCAAAAACAATAAATAATGTAACAAATATATAAGGATGATTCAAAAATTATTAAAATTTGCTTTTGAAGGAATTGAAAGTAGCTCTGAACATTTTCAAACAAGTTTTCAAGAGTTTATCCAACCAACCCAATTCATGCCTTTTTTTTTCACCTGTTCGATGATTTCTTTTCAGAATTCTGGTTGAATTTTGATCAAAACCAAACCATAAAATCCTGTAACTTTTTTTTGTAGCATAAAATGACTCTGGCTACTTCTGCTATATGCCTCACCTTTGCTTTTCAGGAAATACTTAGTGAGAAAAATAAAAGTAAAAGAAAATCGGATATCTCTTATATTCTTATTAATTTTTTCTTCTATAAGCCTACAAATATATTTATTAGCCAAGTTTTTTTACTGTAGATGTAAAATAAAAGCTTCACATAGAAAATGTTACATTTCTTCTGATAAAATAAATGTTTTAAAAATATTTGCTGATTCTGGTGAGTTATCAATGTTGTCGTACCAAACCTCTGAAGATTGTTTTACTATGAATAATTTGCCACTTGTTTGAAGTGGTGTAATTTATCAATTAGACGACCTTTGTCAGCAAATAAAATCAATGGAATGCATGTCACTGATCTATCATTTAAAAGAAAAGGAAAAACAATTTCAATGGATACAGATCGGACTACAAACTGTGGTATCCAAACGTGAAAAATGAGGAGTTTTTGAAAAACAATTAACCGCAGTAGGTATTTGGAGTAAACGATGAGTAGGTACTACATGAATATTGACGAATAAGACAAAAACCAGAAGGAGCTTATTAAGGATTCCATCCAACCACCAAACCAAATTCATGTTACATGCTCTATCCACTTTCAATGACAATCCAGAATCAACAATCAATTGCAGAGATTCCAGGAAAAAATCAATGAAGGTATTGCTTCGATAAATGAAATGAAAATATGGTATCGGACAGTGGATGCAAATAAACTAACAATTCACGTTCTCAGTTCATATCAAGTTGTCTCCAATTACATAGATGAAGTTTTGGACTATTATAGACAATTGTTAGATGTTCACTACCATAAAGGCCACCTATACGATCTAATATCTTCGACCCACGTTGAAGAGATAATGGTATCTGCATCAAAAAAGATTCCGTTCAATATCGTATCCTGTGCTTCGGACCAAAGTGGAACACAGTGAAGAATTTATCCATGTCTATGGATATTTTGTGATGATACACAACGAATTTATGCTAATCAAATCGACTCTAACTCCATTAAAAACAGAATAAGAGCCATACTGGATCCTGGATATTCCAAACGAAGTATTAGCAATAGATTATGATTCACAACTATACTTCCAAATATCTGAAGATGAAGAGAAGAGTTGAGCAATAGTCTGAACATTTCAGAATTTTTTTTTGTATGTTGACCAACATAGAGACGAGTCCTGATTGCATTATAGACCAAATATATCAAAGAGAAGAAAATACTTCGTACAAAATCCTACAGCAATCCATAGCATCAATAATATGGAAGCAGCTACACACTCCAAACTCATGGTTAGCAATTACGCCTGAAAAAAAAAATCCATTGTTTGCGATGGAACCCGGGACGATGTGGCACTAAATCAAACAGCCATCATAGAAATAGCTTGAAATTTCCTCATTAAAATTAAGAAGAACGTCCTAACTCCTAAAAGGTCAGATACTGTCACTGTCTTAGAAACATTCTCCAAACTCATACTACAAAATAAATCATTATTCCCAGTTATGCATGAAAGGTAAATCATATCATGCTAATTGACGAACCTGTAATTGATGCATCCAACAAACTCAATGAATTCAGGAATGAAGAAATGAACATCAAACAACAACTCGAAACTACGCATTGGGTTACTAATAGAAAAGCACCTCCTAGTTACGAGCCTCAGTTCTACATTAGTAACTTATTGTTGTTATCACACTCACACTATACAAATCACAAACAACAAACTTCCAAGTGTTCTGAGCAGCCTCCTAAATTCCAATACAATAATTTTACAGTAGTACTAACTACATGCAAAATACTGGAAATGGTAAAGTTTGGTAAATTATGGGGAACATTTTCATAGTCTACTATAACCATGCAAAAATATGGCAATCTGCTGAACAATTTACAAAGCAATATCCCATAACGGCCATAACTATTAAAAACGAGAAAAAGCTATTTGTTTGGCAATATGTTATCTATTTGCATGTTTATGTACGTAATTAGTTTTTATATAAATAGGTTGCAATATTTTTTTGTTTGAATTTTTTTCAAATTGTTGTTGCCTGGCTTATTTGATATAAATGTATTTTATCTCGTGACAAAAATTGATAAACCTAAGCACATAGAATTAGAATACCAAAAATGTTTTCAACTTTACATAAACTTTACGTAAATCAGGCTTATGATGTATCCTGTCCTGTTATTTTAACAGTTGTGTTATAGCTCAAAATCTATACCTGTCTCTATTTTTATGTGTAGAATAAACAATGACAAATAATTTAACGTTGATGTTAAAATAACAGAAACTGATACATCATAGGCCTGAATGTCACACATATGTTTACTATGGGTATTATATCGAATCAATTTCCAACTAAGGAGCTGATTCAATTCAACTTTGATTCAATTTTGGTAAAAACAACTCTAAAACCAATGAAACTGTCACAATATTATTACTTTATATGCTCTCCTTCACAAATAATGATAAGCCATACCTAAGTCAATTTAAATACATATTGCTTTGCATGGAAAAAAAATATGTTTTGCATAGGTTTCGTTTTCAGGGAAATAAATTCAATAGCCCATCAATCTTGCAAAACATATACCAAAATAAACCACTCACAAAAAAATGCAAATATTAACACACATTGATAACGCTTTGCGTGAAGTTCATAAATCCTAAAAATGTATAAAAATTGCAACAACACTTCAATTGAAACAAAAATGAAGCAACAAATTCTTCTAGCTCTACTGCTAACCACCAAAGCAGCCCTAGTATTGAGCTTATGCGAAGACTGGACCACTTGCCACAGGGTGAAATGTGCTTTGCCCCCTAATCCTTGCCCTAGGAATGAGCCCTATTTAATTTGGGACGATTGCGGCTGCTGTCAACATTGCAGGTAAAGAATCCTAGATTGATTTTCCTTAAATTGTAACAAAATGTTTTCTATATATATAGTGAAAAGCCTAAAGTGGGTCCTTGCGGCACTTGTGGCAAAGATGTGATTTGTAAGGAAAAAGAACCAATATGTGGGGAGAATCAGACAGTTACTATAGATTATTGCGGGTGTTGTAAAGTTTGTAAAACTATTGTTGGTGAGTCTTGTGTTTTTAGTTTTTTTAGGGAGTTTCATTTTTTTGGTTTACAGATGTTGGATGTGGATGTTCAGCTTGCGGTCAATCGAGTACAGTTTGTGCACCAGGATTGGAATGTTTCAGAGGAACTTGTCAGAAATTGTGTGTTTGTGAAGTTTAGATTGTTTTTAGTTTTATTTTATTTAAGATTTCTATGGTATCTACTTAATAATTATTGATAAAGAAAGCTGTATTGTTTTTTTTTTAAATAAAATAACAAATAACTCAACGCTGAAAACACAATGACAAATACAAGGTACAAGAGACAGATACAAAATATCAAAAAATCGAAATTCTGTATCGTGGAGTGGCAAGTAAATTGTATCCTGTGTCCATTTATTCTGTGTTATAGCATTGAAACACGTGTTATTATATTTTTGTCTCTTGTCACTTGTACCTCGTATTTGTCATTGTGTCTTTGGCCTAATGGAAAATAGGAAAGAATATGAGACATATCACTTTAAGCTAAGCCAGATTTTAGTCTTTAAGTTTTAACTAGCTTCAGACTGAGTCTTCATTCTTAAATCTTGAATAAAAAGACTTTTGTTGGGAAAAAGAGTTTTTAGTCTTTCCAATATTCTGTTAAACTGTTCAAGTAAGACATTCACCTGAAACCTGTAGTTTTTAAATTAATGAGAATAACTCACATTTGAGTGAGTCACGTTAGTATCGTAATTAAACAACATATTGATGAATAGGTGGCTGCGGAACTCGCTGCGCTCGTCCCGCAGAGGTCCACCCATAAATTTCGCAACAATTCACTCATTTGTACTTGAATAACTTGTCACATTATGTTACTAGTTTGGTAAAATAACATTACTAATTCCTGTTGAAAGGCAAATTGACAAAAAGTGGATAATCTTACAATTTCTGACTTTATATAATAAGTTATTTTTCAAGTACAAATAAGTGGATTGTTTTGCGGAACTTATGGGTGGACCTCTGCGGGACGAGAGCGCAGCGAGTTCCACAGCCATCTACTCACCAATATACTGTTGAACTGTTCAAATAAGACATTCACCTGAAACGTGTAGTTTTTAAACTAATGAGAATAACTCACATTTGAGTGAGTCAGGTTATTATGGTAATTAAACAACATATTGATAAATAGATGGCTGCGGAACTCGCTGCGCTCGTCCCGCAGAGGTCCACCCATGAGTTTCGTAACTAAAGCATTTGTAATACCCATTTAGAATAACCCCATCCTTATTTATTAATCACGAATCAGATGAAACAAAAAATTACCAACAAAATCGAACGTCGATTGCTAATACGTCAATTTCATCTACAAATAGGAAATTCCTAACCTAATTTTAATTGTGTGTCAAGAAAGCGACATAGGTTTTGTCACTAAAACGACAGGTACTTCTAAATAGGTATTAAAAATACTATATTCACTTATTGTACTTGAATAACTTGTCACATTATGTTACTAGTTTGGTAAAGTAACATCACTAATTCCTGTTAGAAGGCAAATTGACAAAAAGTGGATAATCTTACAAATTCAGACTTTATATAATAAGTTATTTTTCAAGTACAAATAAGTGGATTGTTGCGGAACCTATGGGTGGACTTCTGCAGGACGAGCGCAGCGAGTTCCGCAGCCATCTACTCATCAATATACTGTTGAACTGTTCAAATAAGACATTCTCCTGAAACGTGTAGTTTTTAAACTAATGAGAATAACTCACATTTGAGTGAGTCAAGTTATTATGACATATTGATAAATAGATGGCTGCGGAACTCGCTGCGCTCGTCCCGCAGAGGTCCACCCATAAGTTTCGTAACTATTCACTTATTGTACTTGAATAACTTGTCACATTATGTTACTAGTTTGGTAAAGTAACATTACTAATTCCTGTTGAAAGGCAAATTGACAAAAAGTGAATAACTTACAAATTCTGACTTTATATAATAAGTTATTTTTCAAGTACAAATAAGTGGATTGTTGCGGAACTTATGGGTGGATCTTTGCGGGACGAGCGCATAACGAGTTCCGCAGCCATCTACTCACCAATATAGGTACTGTTTAACTGTTCAAGTAAGACATTTACCTGGAACCTGTAGTTTTTAAATTAATGAGAATAACTCACATTTGAGTGAGTCACGTTAGTATCGTAATTAAACAACATATTGATGAATAGATGGCTGCGCTTGTCCCGCAGAGGTCCACCCATAAGTTTCGCAACAATTCACTCATTTGTACTTGAATAACTTGTCATATTATGTTTCTAGTTTGGTAAAGTAACATTACTAATTCCTGTTGAAAGGCGAAATGACAAAAAGTAGATAATCTTACAAATTCTGACTTTATATGATAAGTTATTGTTCAAGTACAAATAAGTGGATTATTGCGGAACTTATGGGTGGACCTCTGCGGGACGAGCGCAGCGAATTCCGCAGCCATCTACTCACCAATATACTGTTGAACTGTTCAAGTAAGACATTCACCTGAAATGTGTAGTTTTTAAACTAATGAGAATAACTCACATAGATAGCTGGGTCCACCTATAAGTTCCGCAACAACCCACTCGTTTGTACCTGAATAACTCGTCACAATATATTATTAGTTTGGTGAATTAACATTACTAATTCCTGTTAAAAGAAAAATTGACAAAAAGTGGATAATCTTATAAATTCTGACTTTATATATTAAGTTATTGTTCAACTACAAATAAGTGGATTGTTGCGGAACTTATGGGTGGACCTCTGTGGGACGAGCGCAGCGAGTTCCGCAGCCATCTACTCACCAATATACTGTTGAACTTTTCAAGTGAGACATTCACCTGAAACGTGTAGTTTTTAAACTAATGAGAATAACTCACATTTGAGTGAGTCAGGTTCGTATCGTAATTAAACAACATATTGTTAAATAGATGGCTGCGGAACTCGCTGCGCTCGTCCCGCAGAGGTCCACCCATAAGCTTCGCAACAATTCACTCATTTGTACTTGAATAACTTGTCACATTATGTACTAGTTTGGTAAAGTAACATTACTAATTCCTGTTGAAAGGCAAATTGACAAAAAGTGGATAATCTTACAAATTTTGACTTTATATAATAAGTTATTGTTCAAGTACAAATAAGTGGATTATTGCGGAACTTATGGGTGGACCAAAATCTGAATCATAAGATAGCTACCTCAGTAGGTAGGTAGGCACTAAAATTTCAAAAATTCCCATTTATATTTATGGCAACGCGCCTCTGTATTTTTCCAAAATCACCATCATGTTCAAGAAGCCTTTTGCTATAAAATCAAGAATCTAGTAATTTCCTTCGCCACAAGATCAAGAATTGAATGGAACTATCACCATTTTGTCAATTACATTTGAATTTTTTTTACATTGAAGGTAATTTTGTATTTGATTAAACATTTCAAGGTCACTTTAGTCATCAAAATACACAGAAATAACATCAAGTTATTTAAAAATGTATAAATTAATTATTTCAGCATTTTTATTAGTTCTGAATGTTAGTTTGGCCGCTGGATACTTCTGCGAAGATTGGGCTTCATGTCAAAGATTCGACTGCAATCCCCCTGATGAAGTTTGCCTTGAGAATCAGCCCTATTGGCTCTACGATGTATGCGGGTGTTGTCAATTTTGCAGTCAAGAGGATACCTACCTTAATTCAATTGATTTTATTATAAAATATTTGCAGTGAAACTCCAAGAATAGGCCCTTGTGGTGAATGTGGCAAAGATATAGTTTGTAGAACAGAGTATCCAGAGTGTAAAGAGAACCAAACAGTTACTTTGGATTATTGTGGTTGTTGTAGAACGTGTAAGACGATTGTGGGTAAGCGATTCTACAATCTACACCAACCAATTTCAGGTTTGAAAGTTATGAAATTCATTTTTGAACAATTCTTATTCCTGGTCATATTTTAAGCTTAAAGTTAAAATCTAAAACCAATTAGAGTGTTATTCTCCATTGCAAGTTAATTCCAAAGCTATGAAATTGACTATTAAAATGTTTCCACTTGTAGATAACTAGGTACCTAGTGAATGTGATAACAACCCTGAGAAACCTTCTCTTAGAGTCTGCACAGCAGACTTACGATGCGAAGAAGGTGCGTCAAAATGCATTATTTCAACTGCAGATTAAGACGCCATTGAATCTATTATAGTATGTAAAAAAAAAATGTTTTTATTCAAATAAATAATTATTAATGTCAATTAAATTGTAAAAAAAAATACTGGAAGTTTTATTTCATCCGTTCACTGTTTTGGGGTTTGCGCATCTACTGTTGATGCACTCCAGGCCGGATTTGCATACAGCGTAGGCGTCTATGTCTTTCGAACATTCTTCTCCTTTATCTGTAAAGAAAAATGTTATTTGTGAAAATTTCTTGCTATGGGGATGATGTGCCTAAATCAACTTCCACAGAATCTAAACTCATTCTCACAGATTTTATACTTTTAAAATTGCCAAGAAACAATTAACATCCAAAGTGAATTTAGAACCTGTTAGAAATTCCAGAAAAACTGTTTGTGCTTAAAATGTGATTCAACAAAATAGTACCAAATTATTACATTTCACGTCTCAAAATTACCTTTCGCCATAAGATCAAGAGTACCTAATAGAGAAGTACCTACTGGAAGTATCCTTATCAAATATAGGTACCAAAAATTATAAAGAGTTTGATAAAATACCTATTTCAAATAAAAAAATTCTTACCTAGAATATTTTTGCACACCAAACAACATCCGCAAAGATCCAACGTAATCACCTGGTTCTTGGAACAAATCGGATACCGGTCCTTGCATATCACATCCACACCACAAATGCCGCACGGCGACGTTTCGGATTCGGTTTTGGACAAATTGAAAATCAGCATTTGCACGAAAATCATTGAAATTATTTTCGAGACGTTCATTTTTTTTTTTTAAATTATTAAAAGACCCGGTCCACGGATTTTAAGGTTAAAGAATGATAATTGATGCACAGCATCGTCCTATCTTCAAGAGCAGAGTGATAAAAACGTGTTTTGTGGGAGAGATTTTGCGGTGGTACCCGGTATAGTACTGTTTATTGGTACAACATTTAACGTTGTACGTGCAATAATGCAAAAACTGTTGGTTAATTTTATTAATAAATTACGTATTTATTAATGATTAATCGGATCAGGACCATTTCTATATTTATATTTCCTGTTAGCACAGATTTGAAAAAGTTTTTCGTTAATTATAGATGGTACTGCTTTTATTTATAAATTCTCGCGATACGATAAACGATATAAGACTTGAGGCAAAGTTCAATTAAAGTAATAAAAAAAATAAATAATAAAACAAATTCATCTTAGAATTAAATAAAAGTAAAATTATGTAACTAAAGGCCGGTTTATTTACCTTCTGATAAACTGTCAGAGGTAGGTATGCAATTTGACTGATGAAAACGCAAACTGTAATCCTATTGGTAAGCCAGTGTTAGCAATTTGTTTCTGAATGTAAATTCGAGGGGTTGGTATTTAAGATTATTATAATATACGTATTTTTGTGAAGAAATGTGTTTTTATTTGAACAATTAAAATCGAGTTTTCATAAGGGTACCCCCTTTGAATTCTGATTTCAAAATCTTTAAACCTTGATTGCTCGGTAACCGTTGGGCAAATTGCATTGAAATTTTTAGCATTTGTAACTCTTATTAAAATCTAAATGGCCTGTGATTTACAATATTCCCAGATTTATAGTTTTTGCGCAAATTGAGTTTGAAGTTTTTGACAAAGTTTAGACTAAAAGTCAAATTTGAGGCTCAATTTCTCCGAAATTTTTGAGCCATCGTTCTCAATTTTACACGGATTTATAGAGAATTTAATGCTCTTTCCAATGATATATAATTTACTTGAATTTGCTTGAAATTTATTGAAGATATGGGCAACTGCTCATGACCATGTCAAGATTTTGAAAATTTTCCAGACCCCAAAAATAGGATTTCCTTTTTAATTTTTTTTCTGCTAATAATGGTCATTTGAAAATGATGTCTGGATTGTTTTTTACTAATTTTGACCCGCTCTATCGATTGGTGAAGTCAAAATTGAGCAAAACTGGAAAATAAGAAAATCGAATTTTTCATAAGGGTACCCCCTTTGAATTTTAATTTCAAAATAATCAAATCTCACTCGCTCGGTAACCGTTGAGCAAATTGCATTGAAATTTTCAAAATTTGTAACTCTTATTTAGCTCTAAATGGCCTGTAATTTACAATATTCCCAGATTTATAGTTTTTGCGTAAATTGAGTTTGAAGTTTTTGTCAAAATTTAGACTAAATATCAACTTTGAGGCTCAATTGCTCAAAAACCATTTGAGCTATCGATCTCAATTTTACACGGATTTATAGAGAATTTAATGCTATTTCCAATGATTTATGATTTACTTGAATTTGTTTGAAATTTATTGAAGATATGGGCAACTGCTCATGACCATGTCGAGATTTTGAAAATTTTCCAGACCCAAAATAGGATTTCCTGTTTAATTTAAAAGTTGACCCGCTCTATCGATTGGTAAAGTCAAAATTGAGCAACTGGAAACTAAGAAAAACGAATTTTTCATAAGGGTGGGTACCCCCTTTGAATTCTAATTTCAAAATAATCAAATCTCACTTGCTCGGTAACCGTTGAGTTTTTGAGTAAATTGAATCTAAAGTTTTTGACAAAATTTGGACTAAAAGTCAACTTTAAGGGTTGATTGCTCAAAAACCTTTTGAGATACTAAACTCAATTGTATTCAGATTTATAGAGAATTTATTGCTCTTTCCAATGATATATAATTTATTTCGAGTTGCTCAAAATTTAACAAAGATATGGGCAATTTAGGCAATTATTTGGAATGTTAAAGAAATAATGCGAAATTATATTAGAATTATGTGAAATTTGATAGAAATTATGCGGAATTCAAGTGAAGTTGAAGGAGTGAAGACGTGGAATTTCAAAAAAAAAAAAATTAATTTTAGAAAAACTAAATGGAATTCTATAGGAATTTTGTAAAATTCTATAGAAATTATGCGAAACTTCATAGAAATTAAGCGAAATTTCACTAAAATTAAATCGAATTAAATGAAATTCCGTGAAAAATATGCAAAATTTTATCGAGATTATGCCAAATTCTATGGAAACAAAAAAAAAAACAGTTAATTTGAAAAAATTACACAGATTTCTATAGAAATTATGCGAAATTCTATACAAATTATGCGAAAATTCAGTGAAATTAAATGGAATTCTGGGAAAATGGCGTAAAATTCCAAAAAAATCGTTGAGTTTCATAAAAACCTATAGAAATTTAGTGGAATTCTATAAAAATTATGCAAAATTCCATAAAAATTATGCAAAATCCCGTAGAAACTAAGAGGAATTCCATCGAAATTATGTTGAATACCATAGAAATGATGCCTAATTTTATACAAAGTATGCAGAATTTCTTTCAAATTTTGGCAAATCCTATTAAAATTATGCGAAATTCTAGTGAAATTAAATGGAAAACGATATAGAATTTCAAAAAAAGCGTTAAGTTTCAAAAAAATCAAAATCCCATAAAAATTATGTGGATTTAAGTTGTATGAAATTTCATGGAAATTTTGCGGAATTTCATAAAAATTGTGTGCAATTAAATAAAATTCCAGTAGAATTTAATAAAATTCCAGGGATACGACGTAGAATTCCAAACAAAAGTATGTGGAATTTCTGTGGAATCCCGATAAAATTATGAAATTCCAATAATTTTCCTAGAGTTCCAAGTAATTTCTCCAAAATTTTAAATTATTCTCATGAAATTCCAAAAAAAAAAAATGATATTATTTGAAATTCCTGTGAATTTCTTGCAATTACAGAAAATTTCCTTGAAATTACATGGATTTTCGGTAGAATTTCAGAGAATTTTTATGGAATTACGAGGAATTAATTCTGGTGTAGATTTTCATTTTCTCCTGGAATTCCAAGTTATTTTCGTAAAATTCCAAAAAATTCTCGTAAAATCACATTAAATTTTCATACAACTTTAAAAAATTCTTGTGAAATTATTTAGAATTAAGTATAGTGGAATTACGTGGGATTCCGGTAAAATTATGTGATACCTACTGCGAAAGAATTACGACGAAATTTTCCGAGTATTCGACTCAATGCCTCCGGAATTTTAAGTTGTGAAATTCCAGATAATTCCTATGAAATTCCAAAAAAAAAAAATTACGTAAAATTACATGGAATTTTCGCTAAATTTCAAAAAAAAAATCCTGTAGAATAACATGGAATCCTTGTAAAATTCAAAAAAAAAAAAATCCTCAAAAATATCTGTAATTTTAGTCGAATTTTGAAGAATTTCTATGGTACTTACTTGGAATTCTCGTAAAATTGGAAGAAAAAATCGCAAAAATTACTGTAAATTACATAAAATTCTTGTGAGATTACTCAAATTTTTTATTAAATTCCCAAAGAATTCCCGTGAATTCCCAAAGAATTCCTGTGAAATTACATGGAATTCCCGTGGAACAACTCTAAATTTTTTAAGTGAAATTCTGAAATAATATGAAATTCTCGTGAAATTCCAAAAAATTTCTTTGAAGTTGCTTGGAATTGCCGTGGGATTGAAAAAAAAACCTTCCTACGGAATAACTAGAAATTCCATAAAATTTCCATGAAATAATATATTTGAAATTTCATTGAAATTCCGAAAAAATTCTGTAAAATTACTCGAAATTCCAAAAAATTCTTCTGAAATTTCTTAGGTAATTTTACTGAAATAGAATTATTTGAATTTTTCCTGAAATTATTTAGAATTCTAGCAAAATTTGAAGAAATTCCTGTGAAATAAATCAAAATGTCGTGAAATTCCAAAAAATTTACAAGAATTTACATAAAAAATCGTATTAATAATTATGAAATTCCTAAAAAAAAAAATCCTGAAATAATTTTTTAAATTTCAGCAAAATTCCAAGGAATTTTTATGAAATAACTCAGAATTTCAGTGGAATTCCAAAAAAATTTGCGTGAAATGACCTGTTATAGTCATGAACTATCAGAAAGTAATTTGTGAAATTACATGGAATTCCAAAAAATTCCTGTGAAAATACAGAAAATTTCTTTGAAACCAATTGAATTTTTAGTGGAATTCTGAAGAATTTTTAGGGAATTCTGGCGTGCAATTTATGAACATTCTATAATAAGAATTTCAGTGGAATTCTGAAAAATTCTTGTAAAATTAAACGAAATTTTCATGTAATATCAGAAAATTCCTATGAACATTCCTGAAACATTCTAGGAACATTCCCGAATTAATTTATAAATATTTCTCGTATATTTTACAGAAATTTCCCAAAAAAAAACATGTTGAAACATTCTATAAACATTTTTGGAACATTTTTCTAAAATATACATTGCAAGAGTCCAACTCTCGTTACGCGAGTCCCATTTTATTAGTCAAGAAAAAGGATGGAACGAATAGAATGTGCGTTGAACTCCCTCCCTCCATCATCTTGAACAGAGAATTCCAAATGTTTTACATCTTTAGACATGGCCAGTGGTTATCACCAAATACCGATAGCAAAAGATTCCATGGTGAAAACTGCTTTTATAACCCCAGATGGGCACAACGAGTACTCGAGGATGCCATTCGGATTAGCAAATGCTCCAGCAGCTTTTCAAAGAACAGTAAACCAAATTTTAGGATATTTAAGATTTACTATCGCTATGGCATTTAAGATTATTATAATATACCTACGTATTTTTGTGAAGAACTGTGTTTTCATTTAAACAATAATTGTATTAGGATGAATAGTAAATTTATCTTGCCGATTATAGTTACCAGAAAGTTTATCTGAAGATGAATAAACCGGGCCTATGTTAGAGGAAAGAATCTATTAAAAACAAAGTTATACAAATAAAGTATTATCTAAATCAAATCTGTTTGAAATTTATGTACCATAAATCCTCCCTCTTCCACTTCAT